AGCCAAAGGCAGTCACTTAACCAACTGCGCCACCCAGGTGCCCCACAACTCTCACTTCATAAATGGGAAAATGAAGAATTATAGGTGGATTGACTGCTAGTTTATTGTAGAGCAGAGGCCAGAACTCTGGGTTGCCCGATTCTCAAACCAAGTTCTTCCCATGACAAAAATCAGGTATCACTTTGGGGCACATTCTTTTTTCCTCCTCTTCTGACTCAGAGAGGGGAAAAAAGAAAAAGGTGAGAAAGCTTGCAGAAGCAATTAAAAAACCAGAGCACTAAGAATCAAGTTACCTTGGAAGGTGTTGAAGAGGGTTAAGTGCAGAGGCTGGAATTCACAGAGCACAGAAAAAGGTAAGGTCTTATCAAAAGAAGTTAGAGCAGGGGCACCTGGGTGGCTCAGTGGGTTAAGCCTCTGCCTTTGGCTCAGGTCATGATCTCAGGGTCCTGGGAGCGAGCGCCTCTCTGCCTACTCATTCATGATCTCTGTCTATCAAATAAATAAAATCTTAAAAATAAAAAAAAGCAGTTAGAGTAAACAGGCAATCTGAGACTTTTGTTACTTGTATTTAGGTAAATGCTGTGAAAAGGCAAGTTTTTTGACATCCGAGGCCAAATCAGAACCTAGAAAGTGACGACTTCTCCACTCCAAGTAACAACTGAATGTGAGATAAAGGGATTTCAGGTTGGGGCGCCTGGGTGGCTCAGTGGGTTAAAGCCTCTGCCTTCAGCTCAGGTCATGATCCCAGGGTCCTGGGATCAAGCCCCGCATCGGGCTTTCTGCTAGGTGGGGAGTCTGCTTCCTCCTCTCTCTCTCTCTGCCTGCCTCTCTGCCTACTTGTGATCTCTGTCAAACAGATAAATAAACTCTTAAAAAAAAGGGGGGGGGATTTCAGGTTTTATACTTAACTTGGTAGGAAGAAGAGAAAAGGAAAAATTATAGGAAACAAGATGTCGGCTGGGGTCCTCGGAATGTACCTTCACGGCCCAGGAAGTCCAAAGCCCACCCTTGGGTTTTTATGAATGGTCCTGGGGAGTTTTGTTTTTCTGGACTTCAAGACTTTTGAGATCTTGCTTTCATGCGGAAATTGAGAATTTACTGTAGAGATGGAAGGCAGGGTTGACACCCCAGCAACAGCAAATAAATTCAATCGGAATGGATCCTGGCCCTGCTCCCCTACCTCCCTGAGCTTCTCTCCTGGCTGGCTCTCTCTCTACCACCTCTCTGCAGTGCCCCCCACCCCCTTCCCTTGCGGGAGCAGAAACAACAAACTTCCTCTAATCTCCTGCAGAGCAGGTTTTCACGCCCCTCTGAAGTCCAGGTGTCTGTAGCATCCAAGCCCTCAAGGTGGCATCCCTCCCCACAAGCTCATCAAGGAGGCTTTCCCCCAAGGAGACAGCTCAATCCTTCCCCTTCCCAAACAGGCACTGCGGGTCTGGCTGTTAAGATTAAAAAAAAAAAAAACAAAAACAAAACAAAAAAACCCCCCATGTCTTTATACACGACAGGAAAATTTCTTAAGTTTAATTACAATAGCAGTACTCACTATACTGTGGTAGTGTTGCTATTTTTTGTTTTGTTCGGTATGGAATTTTATTATCATAACTAATTGTAATGGACATTTCTTAATATTTATCTAATTTTTAATAATCAGTCTTCAAAATCAGAAAGCATTAGTGATCAGATCTAGGCTTTCTTTGCATCTTCTATCAGTGATTCTCATAAAGGGTGGGTAAATGAAGCAGCTGTAAAGAGGCAGCTTTAGAATTGAAAGCCTTGGGGAACCTGGGTGGCTCAGTGGGTTAAAGCGTCTGCCTTTGGCTCGGGTCATGGTCCCAGGGTCCTGGGATCAAGCCCCACATTGGGCTCTATGTTCGGTGGGGAGCCTGCTTCCTCCTCTCTCTCTGTCTACTTGTGATCTCTCTCTGTCAAATAAATAAATTAAGAAAAAAAAAGAATTGAAAGCCTTAAGAGGAAACCAGGTGCCCTTTGGGTCTTGAAAACTCAAGGCCATTAAATAATAGAAAACATCACAAGCTCACTGTTTGGGTTCGAAATTGTTTCCCTAAGCAGGTTTTTCTTTTCGGAGGCGTCACTCATATTTGAAAGCTGTAAGTCATGGTAGGCAAAAAGTGAATTAGGTGGTTCTCACTAGCCTGATAGCTACAGTCCTGGAGAGATGGCTCAAGGGATAGTCTCTGTACTCTTAACTCTCCTGTGCTTTTTTTCTGTTCCAATCCTTCCACTTTATGAAGCTCTACCTTCTCCAAGCTCCCAAATATTTTCTCCTTACAGGGGCAAGGAATATTCAGTGTTCAGGCCTCAGGGACCTTCGGGGCAGCTTTGTCTGTCTGTCCTTTTTATCCTTACCTCAATCATGTGTTCGCCTGAGTGCTGCCTGCTCACCTGTTTCCCTAGTTCCTCCTGAAACCTTCAGGCACATGCATATCTAAATGATGTGAGAACTTTCCATCAAACGAACACAGGGTTCTCTCTGTTGCAACTGTACGGGCTGTGTCCACCACCCTCTCTCTCTACAGTGGCAATTCTCAAGAGTTTTACTCCCTTCTCTCCTTCCGTCCCCTAACTGCCTTTCCTCAAAGCCCATTTCTTCTTCTCTCAGGTCCCCACATCCAGCATTCCCGAATTTTCACCACCACCTTGTATCACTGAGGAGGTTGCTTATTTCCTCTGAGTTGGGTGGCCCACAGTGAGGGCAAACTGCCACCATGTGAAGACTGGGCCTGAGCCACTCGTGGCCCAACATGGCCAGGCTTGTCACAAGGCAGCATTACCAACAGAAGGATCCTAGCACACTTCTGGAGGCTTCAATTATGCTATATGCTCCTGATCCAAACCGCTAAGCATAAATAGTGATGATAATTAGTACATTTACATAAACAACCCCAGTAGATCAATCCAAGTGCACACTTCATTTTATTAATGGGTTCATTGTTCTCCATCATTATTTAATTTGCCCCAGTTTCCCTTCCAGCCTTACTGAGCACAACTTTTAAAGTTTAGAAATATAAAGAATTTTTTTTCACTTAAGCAAGCCCTTCTAAGTGTGTGACAGATGGTTAATGTCAAAAGCCCCTGAGGAAGGCTTCTGTTTAGCCTTTGATTTTGTTTTGTCTTCTCAGCCAGAGAAATGTTTGACTATGCTGATAATTTGTAAGCATACATCAACCATCAACTTTTATCGTCCTTTAAATTCCCAGCTCTCCCCCGGATTTCTCTGCTACTCCTGGCCTAGTAGGGGCCAGGAAATCAGGCAGAAGCATGCCTAAATGGCACGTGTGATAAGCCTCATAAAGTTATTCTGCTCAATTAATGGTTTTCATTGACAATTTTACTGCTCTGTTTTAAGCGGCTCCATTCCCTTGGGCATCTGTACATATGTCTATGATAAGCCTCATCCAGTCCAACAAAATTGGCCCCTCAGAATACAGACTGCTCTATTTTTAAAAAAGCTCATTTTAAAAAAAGCTCTTTTTTTTTTTAAACATAACACTTGAAATACATTTAAACAGAAAGTAATAGAGCTTTAAAGCTGAGCTATAAAAGTGATTTATTCATGAGTACATACTTCTTCCTCTCCCAACTGACATCTATTTTATATTAATTTTCCTTGAGTGTGTATCCTCAGCTTCTTTCTAGATCTTCACTGAGGAAACTACCTCTTTATTCCACCCTGATTCCCATCCACTTTGCTCCAAAGACTCCCCTATGGGCTGAGAGGGAGCCCCCTGCAGGTACAGAAACACAATCCGGAAAACTCTGCCATGAAATAATACTGCTCCCTAGTCACCGACTTTATTAGGTAGTCAGTAAGCTTTTTTTTTTTTTTTTAATTAGGGTAAAACAAGTTCCTCACTCATTTTTTCTGCAGTGACTTGAAATGCGCTTTTACAGTCATGCTCCACTGGTAGCAGGACAGCGAAGGAAGGTACACCTTTTCTCAGGTAAGTGGAACCTGCACTCACTCTAGAGGTAAGTTTTTTTTTTTTTTTAAGATTTTATTTATTTATTTGAGAGAGAGAGAGAATGAGTGAGAGAGAGAGCATGAGCAGGGGGAGGGAGAGGGAGAAGCAGACTCCCCGCTGAGCAGGGAGCCCGATACAGGGATGTAGGACTCTATCTGAGGACCCCAGGAACGTGACCTGAGCTGAAGACAGGCACTTAACCCACTGAGACACCCAGGTGTCCCTATAGGTAAGTAATTTATATAAAGAAATTTCTATAGCGCATCCTTCCCCCCAACCCCTAAAGACTCTTAGCAGAAGAAAAAACCAATGATAACAATGTTCCCATTATATTGTCTACTTTTCAGAGCAGATTCATACACTTCAGTTCATCCAGTTTTTGTTTTTGTTTTTTTAACAGATAAGAGAAATAGAGACTTAGAGTCTCATGGGAATAAAAGGGAGCGCATAAGGAATATAGTCACTGATATTATGATAGTGTTGTGTGGTGACAGATGGTAGCTACACCTGAGACCAATGTAACACTGTGTGTCATCTATACTGAAATAAAAAATTTTTAAAAAATAGAGGCTTAGAGGGGTGCCTGAGTGGCTCAATGGGTAAAGCCTCTGCCTTCTGCTTGAGTCATGATCTCAGGGTCCTGGGATGGAGCCCTGCATCAGGCTCTCTGCTCAGCAGGGAGCCTGCTTCCCTTCCTCTCTCTCTGCCTGCCTCTCTGCCTACTTGTGATCTCTCTCTCTCTCTGTCAAATAAATACATAAAATCTTTTAAAAAAATTAAAAATAGAGACTTAGAGAAATTAAGTAAAGGATGCCTTCAAGGTCACACAGCTTGTCAGTCAAAGACCAGAATTTAAAACCACCACTTGATGATTCTGGTTTAAAAAAAAAAAAAAAAACAAATTTTATTTCAAAAATGGGATTAGCAATCCAGCAATTTTCATAAACGTTATGGTTTATGAAACCGTACTTTTACATCAGTTACGGTGTGGAAGCTTTTATAAGCAATACTTACCAGTGACTGTGCTTTTCTTAGCTTAGATCTGTCCTGCAATTTATTTTTCTTATCACGTGATTGTCGGCTGAAATCTGGATTCATTTCATGTCTTTTCCTCCTGTAAATCAGAAATCATTGGAACATTAGAATCATTTTAAATTTGCACAGCTATTTGTCTGTTGGACTTCGTTGTTCCTGTGATTTAAATGATTGTTTTCACTCAACTGGAAATGAGCCAAATGTAGAGCACTAAAGAACTGGTTGAATCAACTCTCACCCATCCACACAATGGAGAACTTTGAGCTATAAAAAGGAAAGCAAGGTATTTCTACATCCAACCATGGGGTAATATATTGTTATATCCAGGATATATTGTTGTATATGACATATATATATAACAATAACATATCCAGGATATATTGTTATATGAAAAAAAGGTGAATAAAATGGTATGTGTTGTGTACCACCATTTATTCCAGAAACAGATGTGTGTATTTGCTTAAAATTTTGTTAAATAGAAGGACTATACCATAATATCTTAAAAAATGGTTACCTATCAGTAGGCTTCCCATGTGATCCAATCAAGAACAAAGAACAATATGGAGGGGTAGGAACAGAAGCTAAACTCTCCAAATATACTTTGTTTTATATATTTGACTTTAGAACATTCTTAATGTTTCTCAAAATCATAAAATAAGACAAAGGAAGGAAATCCCTAAAATCTAAGAACAAAATGAAAGAAATAATCTTGTTTCTGGAGTTGGTAGCATTACTACACATGGAGGAATTACTTCATGAGACTTGAAACAGAGTATTTGTCTGAATAGTCTTAGTAGAATATGTCCCAAGGTCAAAAACACAGGCAAAGAAATCTTAAACTGTTTTTAGTAATCCTATTGTTTGAATTAATATTAATATTGGTTTTCTAAAACTATCATATATATTTGGATAAGGTAGGAATCAGCAGACTAGAACCCAGAGGCCAACTCGGCCCAATGCCTGTTTTTGTAAATAAATCTAAATTGGAACATCGTCATGCTTATTGTTTGCATATTGTTTTGGCTATTTTCAGGCTACAATCGCAGAGTTGAGCAGTTGTGACAGAGACATGTCCCATAAAGCCTAACGTATTTTTGTCTGGCGCTCTCTAAAAAAGTTTGCCTGTAGTAATGGATCTAGGCCATGGTCTTCAATAGCCACTAACATCACAAAAAAGGGAGACAACCAGAAATAATGTGCCTTATGATGGAAGTACGTGATCTTATATACTCAAGCCTCTAGATCTGACCATGTGTATGGCCAAGTACAGGAGACAGAGAACATGTTAGGCTGCATGTTGGGAGTGCAGTCAGCAAAATTCAGAATGTGAAAAGCTCTACAGGATACATGACCTGATTTCTGTAATAAACAAATTGCAAGGGGGAAAAAAAAAAGAGGTAGGCCTACAGATCCAAAAAAGTTTTTTTTTTTTTTTTTAAGATTTTATTTATTTATTTGATAGAGAGCACAAGCAGGAGGGAAAGGGAGAAGCAGATTCCCCACTGAGCCGGGAGCCTGGTGTGGGACTCCATCCTAGGACCCTGAGATCAGGACCTGAGCTGAATGCAGATGAGTAACTGACTGAGCTACCCAGATGACCCAGCAGATTTGTTTTAATAATGAAATGAGTTAGCAGTTTTGAAATTATTTTCAGAATTTGTAAGTAAATATATAGTGTTTGTGTATATGTGTATATTTTATAATATATGTATATATTATGTATATTATGTATATACATATTACATATACAAATGTATATTATACATATACATATATATATAATTCATATGCAAGTTATATATGTACATATCTATTTTGATTATATATTATATGTACATATATAATTTGTATAAATAAACATGAGAGCCAAGGTTCTCCTTGACAGAGAAGGGAGGTGAAAATATGAAAAAAGACCAGAATGAACTCTATGGGGCTAGACTGAAATCTGAAGTACTAACTATTAAAAGGAGCTGTAATGTTAAATCATTATAGCTAAAAATGCAAACAGATCCTGATGAACAGGGTAAATTTATCAATAATGGTTCCTTTACCTTCCAATGACGTTTGCTATGTATTGCTTTTATGTATTTCACAGGAAATTCTATTTTCCTCTTTTCATATACCTAAGTGCCAGCAAGTTGTTTCCAATGGCAAGTAAATAGAGAAGAGCACAGAGCTTCTCACCCTTGCCAGATTTGCTCACTGGGGTCACAGTTGTCCAGGTAATTGAAGCGAATGATATCAGTTGGATGCTTGTCCGATGATCTCCAGGGTGGGAGCTCTTTCTCCCTTGGGTGGATTTTCTTTCTCAAAGAGGAAGAGGACCTGAAAGCTGACACAGGGGACTGCTTTTCCTCTGCAGGACTGCTTGTAACTGACTGAACGTCGGCAACGGCAAACCCATCTTTTGGAGGTGTCTAGAAGAAGAAAATCAATTATTTCTGTTCTTAAAACAACGTAATAATTATAATAAAAAAATCATCATATCATCATCATTATATCTTCATCATCATCTTCGCTGCGACTGCAATGATAATGGTGACAATAATTACAGCAGCCACCAACCCAGGAGTCCTTGTCAGTGCCAGGTACTGTCTCAGGAAGTCGTCATACATTATTTTATTGAACCTTCATTATAACTGTAAAAGGGAATACTTACTACTCCCATTTTACAGAAGAGGAAACTGAAGACAGGAAAAGCCAATGAACTCACCTACTACTACATTAAATGGTAAGACAGAGGGTCAGAATGTGAATCTAGGACTGTCTTACTTCAAGTCCTAGCTCTAACCCTCTCTATCCTGGGCTGCCACCTCGTCTATTGCATCATTGTATAAGTTTTCCACAATTGCAGTCAATTAACTCAATAAAACATACACATTCCAAAAAATAGTACTCCATGCTTAATTATCTGTAGAACGTAGGGACAACTTTGACTTATACACAGGTAGACTGTAGATTTTATCAGTTATCAAAATCTTAACTGCTCTCAAAGAATACTTTGGCTTTAATTTCCCAAATGGAAAGTCTATTTTCGTGTGTGAAATTCATAAGGTTTTTATGTGGTTGTAACCTAAGGGAAGCGGTAATGGTATGTAGAGAAGCCATTAAAGGCTTAATTTTTGTTCTTTAAGAGATTAGGGAAGCTTTGCGTGGTAAATTGGTTTGCTTGAATTGTTTGTGACAATTAAGAAATTCCCCAAACCCTTCAAGCAGAATCAGTTTCTTATCCTTGTTTCAACTGTTCTTTGTATATATTTCTGTTACAGAATAGCACTTAGTACTCAGTGCTGTAATTATGTATTTGTCTATGTCTAAGACTCCGCTTCTTGAAAGCAGGGTTAGGATCATTATACTCAGTACCTAGCACATAACCATATTTAATAAATATTTACTAATTTAATGGATGATCATAGTTTAGTAACTAATTAAGGCATTTTCTTTATATAATTGATAGCTCATTATTGGTTTGGTATTCAATATTTTGTTCAGGTCTCATTTAGAATGGACATTCATTCCAATTCTGAGCTTAGATTGAATAAAGACTTTGCTGAAGAAGGTCTAGTTTAATACTACTGGGAATAAATAGTACATGATAATAAAAAATTTCAGGGGGAAAATTTTAGGTATACGTGCTAGTAATTATATATAAATAAACATTATTTAGTCTGAAAAGTAACAAAATGTTTGACACTTTAACAAAACAGGATATAATGAAAACTGATGACTTTTCTGTATTAAACAAAATTTTTGTTCACTTCACCCAAAGTCTTTGAGAATTTTTAGAATTGTGAATGATGTCGAACTTTTGTTAAATGCTTTTTTCTGCATATTCTGAAATTATCATACATCTTTTCTTTTTTATTCTGTGAATTACATTGGTTAATTTTTTAATATTATGCCAACCTTACTCTCCATGGATACTTCCCACTTGGTCATCATGTATTATTCTTTCTTTGTATAGAACTTGATTTAATATGCTAATATTTTTAAAAGAGTTTTATGTCTGTGTTCATGAGGGATATTAATCTGGGGTTTTGTTTTGTTTTCTTATAAAGGGTCTATCTGGTTTTGGTATAAAGGTAATGAGTTGGGAAGTGTTCCCTCATCTTCCCTATTATGAAAGAGTTTATGTATAATTGATATTTCTTCCTTATGTGTGTGACAGAATTCGCTAATGAAGCTATCTGGGGGTGCCTGGGTGGCTCAGTGGGTTAAAGCCTCTGCCTTCTGCTCAGGTCATGATCCCAGGGTCCTGACATCAAACCCCACATCGGGCTCTCTGCTCAGCGGGGAGCCTGCTTCCTCCTCTCTCTCTCTATCTCTGCCTGCTTGTGATCTCTGTCAAATAAATAAATAAAATATTTTTTAAAAAAAGAAGCTATCTGGGTCTGGAGTTTTGTGGAAAATTATGAATTCGATTTTTATTTTATTTTTTTAAGATTTTATTTATTTATTTGAGAGAGAGAGAGAGAATGAGAGAGGAGAAGGTCAGGGGCAGAAACAGACTCCCCACGGAGCTGGGAGCCCGATGTGGGACTCGATCCTGGAACTCCAGGATCATGACCCTAGCCGAAGGCAGTTGCTTAAAGAACTGAGCCACCCAGGCAGCCGTGAATTTGATTTTTTTTTTTTTAAAGATTTTTATTTATTTGACAGACATACCACAAGCAGGCAGAGAGGCAGGCAGAGAGAGAGAGAGGAGGAGGCAGGCTCCCTGCTGAGCAGAGAGCCCGACGTGAGGCTTGATTCCAGGACCCCGGGACCATGACCCAAGCCAAAGGCAGAGGCTTTAACCACTGAGCCACCCAGGCGCCCATGATTTTTAAATTGATAAAGATTTATTCATGTTTTCTATTTTCTAGTGAAACTGTTTTCCTAATCTGCATTTTTCGAGAATTATCCATTTCATCTAGGTATTTGAATTTAGTGACATAGACTTGTTCATAATACTCTCTCATTATTCTTCTTATGTTTACAGGATCTGCAGTGATGCCCCCTCTTTCATTCCTGTCACTAGTAATTTATGTTTTCTCTCTTTTTTCCTTCATCCCCCTATCTAGCAACTTAGGAATTTTATTTAAGTTTTCAAAGAAGGAGCTTTGGTTTCACTGATTCTCTCTATTATTTGTCTGTTCAAATTTCATTGACTTTAGCTCTTTATTATTCTTTCTATCTACTTTGGGTTCAACTTCCTCTTCTTTCTGTAGATGAAGTCTTTTTGAAATTATGCTGTTTGGAGTAGATATAGTATAGCCTGATAGATAGTTATAAAGATCATTCTTGTCCAGTCCTCTCATTTTAAGGTTGGGGAAACTAATATTAACCACAACCATTTGCTCATAAAATGCTTTCAAAAGCTCTGCTGGAGCATATGCCAGGTACAGGGTATTGAGGGAAAGGTTGCTAGAGAAGGTGCTTGAGTAAAGGTAAATTATGCTTTAATCCAGGGGCTGCCTACGTTCACCATCACTGGAGCAATCTCACAGGGAATTACCCAAATTACTCAAGTATGTATAGTGCTGACAGTTGACTTTTTAACCTTAGTCACCTGACTTTTATTAACCTTAGTCACATGACTCTTTAGTCTTTCTGACTTAGGTCTATTTTTTTTATTTTTAAAGATTTTATTTATTTCTTTGACACAGAGAGAGACAGTGAGAGAGGGAACACAAGCCAGGGGAAAGAGAGAAGGAGAAGCAGGCTTGCCGCTGAGCAGGGAGCCCAATGCGGGGCTTGATCCCAGGACTCTGGGGTCATGACCTGAGCTGAAGGCAGATGCCCAATGACCGAGCCACCTAGGTGCCCCAGGTCCTTTTTTAAAATAGAAAAACTAACATTTAATATAACAAAGTGTTCTCTAAAGAAATTTAATACTAAGCAAAGAGATGGCAATTTTCTTGGATCAGAACGATTCATTTTTAAATATAGTTATGCACATTTTATAGAAAAGAAGTACAGCTGAAGACAAAGCTTTCAAGTCAGTTTTATAAATACTCAAAACCTCTTTTTCTTCTACAAGTTGGTTAATTACTTTTCTCTTCTCTGCCCCAGAATGGCCCAAGCTTCAGCTTTGAATGCCATCCCCTGCCCCTAACTGAAAATGAGAGTCAAGAAAAGCCTTATCAAATTTTGCAAAGAAATCATAGCTATGGTAATTTTTAAAATAACTTTTTCCATCACTGCAGTTTATGTTTTTCTTTTTAAAAGAAATCCTGTGGAGCACACCAATTACTGAAATCGGAAAGGCTAGTTTTACCATTGCAATTGTAACAACATTAATTATGCATAGTTTACTACTGTACTAAATGTAGATGGGTTCTACTTTAAAACAATAAAACTCAACCCAAATGAAGAAGCTAGGAGTTGACTATTCATCTTTCAAAAAGATTCTTCAATTTTAAAAGGATTCACTGCCATTTTTTTCATAGAAAATGATACCCCTGTGGTTTTAAAAATCATTAAAAAAATTTAATTTACATATAATTTTTCAGGAATTCATCTATCATACAAAACGATGCACAGCTCTGCATGTGTATAGATCACACCATAAAGAAAAGGCTCATAAAAATTTCCCATGAGTTATCTAATTAACTGTGACTATAAGAAGGAACATAAACATTGGTTATAATGCAGAGAAAACAACTAGAAAAATTATTCTTGCATTATTTACTTTTTATCATTATATGTAAATGCTTTACATTGCTTAGTTTCTAGATTAAAAAGGACTTTAGTATACTCATTATTCCCTTCCAAAATTACAGATTTATTGGAAAACTTTTCTTTATAAATGATATAAAAATAACCTTTAGCTCACCTGGTAGAATCAGAAAATTCGAATTAATAAAGTAGAATTGGATGACCCATTGATAGCAAATACTACACAATACCGATGGAGTCCCAGGTCAGAATCGCCTGGCGTGGGAGTCAGAGATACGGAAATCCAGGAATCTGAACAGAGTGAGGAGCTCCATAGTCCTAACCTCCTGGGGAACTGCTGGTTTAGGAGAGTCTGATGAGGGTTCTTGACTAACATGGATGTCTCGGAAAGGGCTATCGAGTTCTCAGAAAAGGAGAAATTTGAAGTAATAGTGTATTTGCTTACATTGCTTCGTTTCTAGATTAAAAAGAACTTTAGTACACTCATTATTCCACTCCCCAACTTTTAATTTTTTAGTCTTAGTTCTAGAATTTCTTTTTTTTTAAGTTTTTATTTAAACTCCAGTTAGCATACAGTATGATATTGATTTCAGGCGTACAATTTAGTGATTCAACACTTCCATAGAAACCTGGTGCTCATCGCAAGTGCTCTCCTTAATCCCTATCCCCTGTTTAACCCATTCTCGGCAGGGGGGGGGCATCCCCGCCCTCGTACTCCTAAATAGCTGATACAAGTATGTTTGTTCCTTTTTGCCCCAAATTTACCTTTGGCTTGGTAACATGAAGTTCTTTTACCATCTGAATGTAGTGCTTCTTCCATATACCCTGCTCAAAGGGAGTTGGAGAGAAACTGATGTACCAGTTAAATCGTAAACATTTGAGCATCCAGAGCTGATCCAGCTCAGTTAAGTTCTTCCAGTGCCAGCTCACCTGGAAAAACAACAATTGGAAAGAAAAGAGAAACCCTACTCAGTCTTCGTGCCCATTTTCTCTAGGTCTTCAGCTGTCACCCTGGACCTGAGATAACTTTTTTGTTCTTTTCCTCCAAATCAAAGCTTAAAAAGTTACCTATCTGAAGTGTTCCCTACCCAGGCAGAAGGATTTTCTTTAAATGTGAAATCACAGTTAGATTCAGAGTCAACTAATATTTACTGAGTACCTATTAACTAACCATCCCCCCTAAGGAGACAGGTGTTATTATTACTCTCATGTTGCAAATGAGAGGATTGTGGCTCAGAGAGACTTTGGAATTTCCTAGATGCTCATATGAGAGTTATATGAAGGTCACAGAAACTCAGATCTGCATATTCTTTACTCGTTTTTTGGTATGTTTCCATTTTCCCTCCATTCTTACAATTTAACTAAATAGAAATTTTATAAATAGAAAGTCAAGTACTAGTATCATATGGTGTGTCCTCTATAGACTTTAAGATTCCATAGAGCATAGATTATTTGCTCTGTACATTCCTTTACCACAGCATTATGGTCATTCTCACAATCCAGATGGAGGTGACCCTATTATGTGCAGCAATGTTTACAATAACTTACTCCAGATTTTGAACAAGTCTTGCTGAAAACTAGGGTCAAGTTCATATACAAAGTTCAGATGAGGGGTTCTGTGTCTTGGCTCTAAGAGTTGCAAAGATGACATCCAACTTTCCAATGCAAATTTCATCCTTGGAAAACTGGTTTCTTTTTCAACATTAAGTAGATCATTAATAATTTTTGAGCATAAAAAAAATGAAAGAAAGAGGGGCGCCTGGGTGGCTCAGTGGTTTAAGCCTCTGCCTTCGGCTCAGGTCGTGGTCTCGGGGTCCTGGGATCAAGCCCTGCATCGGGCTCTCTGCTCGGTGAGGAGCCTGCTTTCCCCTCTCTCTCTGCCTGCCTCTCTGCCTACTTGTGATCTCTCTCTCTCTCTGTCAAATAAATAAATAAAATCTTTGAAAAAAAGAAAAAAAATGCAAGAAAGAAAGAAGAAAGGGCAGAAACTGTGATATACATCCATTTACCTGGCCCTCCCATTCTCCCTCCTTCCAGCTACCAAGTACAGAGTTCCATTATGTTTAGCATTGTTTTCTGTGCTGAGGAGGAGACATACAGGAGAGGGGAGGGCACAATTACAAGAAATAACAGGTTCAGGAACTGGAAGGACGAAAAAGGGTAGAGAATCTGACAGAGCCCCGCAGGCAGGAAGAGAAATCACATCTACTTTGTTTAGCGCAGAAATGCAACAACATCAACCTTAATCCCCATATGGTTAATTAACTTAGAATTCAGTGGAGAGGCAAGGTTTCACAGGGAGGGGATGAGGAGAAGTTTCTCCATTTTCACTCTTTTTCTCATTTTCCTTACATCTTGTTGTGACATGGCTATTAAATTGTTTTGATTTCCCCCGGAGTAGTAGGTTTTTGTATGTTATGTTTTTGCTTTTTGGTGTTTTTTGTTTGTTTTAAGTAGATAGGAATGAGGAGGGTTGGAAGGTAGGTAGGAGCTTTCAAAATTATCAGCCTCCCCCCATATTTTTAAACTGTTCAAAGCTCATTTTAGTGCAATGATATGTTTAAATCTAGCTAAAGAACAATCGCCTTGTGTCTTCCTCACAGGCAGGACTGGGAACAAATGTAATGCTGAGATCTTGCAAGACTGACATATGATACACATATATGATAGGATTAGTGATTTCAAATAACATTTCCCTCCAGTGATAACATTCTCATTGTGCGAAACTTGGAAAATTCCAAGAAGTTTCAAGAAAAACAATACCCATACCCGCACCAGTCAGATATGACTTTTATTAACCACCTGACATGGTTCTTTTCTGTCTTTTTTCTAAGCATGTATGAAAGCAAACTGGGAAATTCTATATATCCAATTTTAGATAGTGCTTTCTTCATTTCACATATTATAAGCATCTTTGGTCTTAGAAAACATGTTTTCTAATGGCCACACAATAATTCATCATATGGCTATATGATAGTCTTTTACTGTTGGACATTTAGAATGCTATGTTCTTTTAAGGAATGTTTCATTTTTGGAATAAGTAATACATGTACATTAATACTAAATTTAAAGATCCAAAGGGACATGCAGTAGAAGAAAGTCTCTCTCTTATCCCCATCCTCTGGTCACTTCTTCCCCTCACTGGATGTTACCACTGCTACAGCTTCTGTGTGTCATTCCAGGAACATTCCAGGCCTATATTTATAAATATGTATATATTCTTTTTTTCTTTCAAAAGTGGTAGAACAGTTCTACACCTTTGCTCTTTTCACTGATGATGGATCTTAAAGATTATTGCAATTTATTTAACCAGTCCCCTAATGGTGGACCTTTCCATTGTTCCCAAACTTTAGCTATTACAAACAACGCTGCAATATTCTTATATAGATACTTTTTGCATATTGAGGCACTCTTAAGAAGTAGAGCTGTTGGATCAAAGGGAATCTTCCTTTTTCCCTTTTTAAAAAAAGATTTTATTTATTTATTTGCGAGAAAGAGAGAGAGCACAAGTAGGGGGAGAGGAAGAGGGAGAAGCAGACTCCCTGCTGAGCAGGGAGCAAGACCGGTGACTTGATCCCAGGACCCTGGGATCATGACCTGAGCTGAAGGCAGGCGCTTAACCAACTAAGCCACCCAGTTGGCCCTAAATTGTATTTTCTTTTAAGTCTTCAGGGTGTTAAAGAATACTCACAAAGGCCTCCTTCCCTATGTTTTCTTTGAGTACTTTAATGGTTTCCTTTGATTTCATACCAATCTTTTCTCCTACTAGAATTTTTTTCAGACAGCTGTCCAATTGTTCTAACACCATTTATTGAGTAACTCCTCTTTCCTACTGCATTCATTTTCTTAATTTTAATTAAGACTAAAATTATGTTACACATCTGTGCAAGACTGACATGTGATACATATGATCTGTGTAACGGGTAACAAGTAATTTCCAGTGTTACCAGACTCTAGGAAAATTCTCAAAAAAATGGCTACCCATTTCATCTTAAAAGCAATTAAAGTACACTTTAACAGACTGTGGACTTAACTTGTAGGAAAACAATATAGTCAGCCCCTTTTCCAAGGCCAATGGAAGTGAGTCTACTTACTCTGAACTCTTTTAGTCTTTTTTTTTTTTTTTTAAGATTTTATTTATTTATTTATTTGAGAGACGGAGTGAGTGAGAGAGCGAGCGAGCATACGAACAGGGGTAGAGGGAGAAGGAGAGGGAGGCCAGCCTGCAGGGCTCGATCCCAGGACTCTGGGACCATGACCTGAGCCAAAGACAGACACTTAACCAACTGGGCCACCCAGGTGCCCCCAGAACTCTTTTAAGTCTTGTACTCTTTGTACCTTATTTTGAGCTTTTCTGTTTATGAAAAGCCTGCACTATACAATTTGCAATAGTTTTCTAGTTATATGCTTTATAATATAAGACTATTCTGCTCATGAACCATTTCATATGTATGTTTGTCTCTTCAACCAGCAAATACTATTCTGTGGACACTAATGATGTCTTACATCATTTAACATCTACTTTTGAGCAGTAAATACAGAGGCACAAAGAAGACAGGGGTTAATTCAAACTATATAGACTACACATACTGACAATCTCATCTATTTCTTGGTTTTGCATGTGTGCTTTTCCCCCCCCTCATTTTAGAATTTTCTAGGCTATCACTACAAAACATGTATACAGATTCTTTGCCTTTTTACCTGTGCACAACGACAAAGGCTTCGTGGGTCCAGGAAAGAAAAGATGTATAGAGATAACACCCTTGGAAGCTTGGTAGTAAAATCCAGAGCTTCAGCTGGAATTTTTTCTTGAAGTTTTCGACAGCAGAACTTTTGCTGTGACAGGGAGCAACGTTCTAACAGGCTTGTCAAGATTCTTCTCCGTTGAGAGTCTGTCCATTTGTCAAACTGGAAAAAAGAAAGATTAAAAAAAACCTGCAGGTTCAGTTTGATACCAGAGATTCATTAGAGGAATGGATAAGAATGGTATAGAATTGAGTTTAATTATTTTATTCCTAATGAATAGCATGTATCTCTTCCCCTAATTAACAAATGTGATGTTTTGTTACTTACCTATTCTTCCTCACATATATACATGTGAGCATGTGCAAGACCTGAGTGTGTACACAAAAGTGTGTGCACTTGACCTCAGAACTTGTAGTTACATAAGGAAAGTAAGTTGGGAGCTGGCCATATTCAAAAACTGAGAAAATATATACTTAAAAATATAATTTCAGGGACACCTGGGTGGCTCAGTCAGTTGGGCATCTGCCTTCTGCTCAGGTCATGATCCCAGGGTCCTAGGATTGAGCCTCACAGGGGAGCTTCCCTCTCCCCCTCCTTTGCAGCTCCCCCTGCTTGTACTCTCATGCTCTCTCTGTCAAATACATAAATATAACTTTCAAAAATGTATATATATATTTATATATATAAAATTTCAAGAGAAGACACCTGGGCAGCTCCTCTCTGGCCAGACTTTCTGTACTGGCTCATAAGTGCCAAACTCCAGGACCAGGAACAAAGCTTTGCATTCACCATTGGAGATAAGGTATACTATCTAAATATCCCTGAGAAGGGTTAAAGTCCCACTAATGTGTTAATGATTGATTGGAGAGAAAATGTCAATAGGAAGACATGGTGGGTGGGGATGGGGAGTGTCGGAGACAGGCAGGAGATGCCAGAGTAATCTGAGCGAGGGCAAACAAGAGCTTTGGTCACTTCACTATTTTCCCTAGAGATAACACTAAACAGTCCCAACATCAATGACTGATCGATGATAAGAATCTGAGGGCTGGCCAAAACCAAAAGAAAGACTTTTCTGGGAACACCTACCGACTGAACGAGCCACTTTACTGGAGGTCTAAACCTCTCTTTTTTTTCTTAGCCCATTTTAAAGACGAGAGATAGGAAAGTTTGGGGCGGCCTATATTTTGTACACTATTGCATTTTGCATATAGATATTTTCTATGGTTGTCTCAAGCTAGTGAGAATTTTATAAGAAATTTTAGTTGTAATCATAAAATACACTACCTAAAAAGGCATATAAAGCATGACAAGTCAACTTCATTATAGTTTTATGAAGTATTTTTTTTTTTAAAGATTTTATTTATTTACTTAGAGAGGGCAAGAGGGAGAGAGAGAAAGTGCGTGAGCCAGGGGAGGGGCAGAGAAGCAGACTCCCCGATGAGTAGGGAGCCCGACGCTGGACTCGATCCCAGGACTTTGGGATCATGACCTGAGCCAAAGGTAGACGCTTAACCGCTGAGCCACCCAGGCACCCATGATGTATTTTTTTAAATTGGCAAGAATACTTCTTGATAAAAACTATTCACTATTATATATATCTATTTCATGACCCAAGAATCTCAGTTTGCAAACTATAATTCAAGCGGGAAGAAGAATGTAGAGAGCAAGATGGAGTCACTCATGTCAAGCAGTGACATAACCAGCCAAGGATGTTGTACCTGAGACCAGATATCACCAAAAACAACAGAGACTGGCAGTACTAAGGACTGATAATCATTAAGGCCCCAGGAACCTGAAGGAACCAAGAGCTGATAATCACTAGAAGGCCTGCAAAGTCTCAAGACCGATTAAATTCCTTTAAACAGAAGATTTCTGCAGCGAACTGTCAAAATCTGCAGACACTGACCCTTCCACTTCTGACCTTACAGACTGACGGCCTTACCTGATTGATCTCAAACATCATAGGGATTCTCCACTGCTTGAACATCACAGCAGTATGATCTGAGAGCTGACCTAGACTAGACCGAGACCTCACCTCAACTGCGTGCTCAGGGACTGACCTCGCATTTGGTTCATTGCCCCTTGTATAGCTTCTCTGTTCTGTGACTTTGTATGGTACTTTGTTTTGTGTGACGTGTATGAAGCCACGTTAAATACGCAATGATAGGTCATTGTTTGGAATCCTGACATTGTGGAAAGATACAACTCGTGTAGAGGCCTTGACAATGGGCTTGCAGCAGGGGAGAAAAAACCCAAAACCTCAACTTACAAATAAATGAATAAAATCTATTCATGTGTGAGTGTTCCCTGATTTCTCCTCTCCCTATTTCTGTACAACTCATATTTCCAGCTCTCCCAATGGGGGATTTCTTTCCTTTTGGGATGGACTATTAGAATGAAGAGAGAAGGCAGACCAGAATGACTGGGGCCAGGGGAAGAACTGTCAGAGAAACCACACTGATCTACAAAATAGCCAAGGGGAAAGTGTGAAAAGAGAGAAAAGCAGTTAGGTTTTTGGCTTGTTGGGAGTTTAGGGGTTCAGAATGTCATTGCCGCGACAGCAATTAGAGACTGTGAGAGAAATGAGGAATGAAGGAAGTATTAAAAAGAAAACCACAGTACAAAATGGAGTCACTTATGTTAAGGGCCCCATGTCAGCAAAGCAAGATTTAATACTAACCTAATTGTAATATTATATATCCCCCAGGAATATAACCTTTAACTAATCAACCTGGAATTTCCTGGTCAGCACTAGGAATTTACCAACAGATCCCTTCCATTCCCCTTAGGAAAGCAATGTTACCTAAAACAATGTGTTCTTTGCTAATAATTTCCGTTGTTAGGCTCCCTCTCTACCTTTCAAAACCTTTCCTTTTCTGTAGCTCAATGGAGCTCCTTTCTATTTGCAAGATAGAATGCTACCTGATTCACAAATTGCTCAATATAGTCAATTTGATCTTTTAAATTATTCAAGTTGAATTTCTGTTGTTTAACAAAGGAAGACCTGAGACGTACTGTCGAGTTTTAAACTGGTTCTGCTGTGATTTTTTTTTCTTTGAAACACGAAGTGAAAATTAGAATTCATTTTAAAATTGCTTTTAGGGGCGCCTGGGTGGCTCAGTGGGTTAAGCCGCTGCCTTCGGCTCAGGTCATGATCTCAGGGTCCTGGGATCGAGTCCCGCATCGGGCTCTCTGCTCAGCAGGGAGCCTGCTTCCCTCTCTCTCTCTCTCTCTCTCTCTCTCTCTGCCTGCCTCTCCATCTACTGTGATCTCTCTCTCTGTCAAATAAATAAATAAAATCTTTAAAAAAAAAATAAATAAAAAAAAAATAAAATTGCTTTTAGGCAGCATTCTGTGGTTCTGTAGAAACTGAGCTACATGGGACCCAGGATGATTATGTTTACAAAAAAAATTTATATTATAATATTATAATATTTATATTATATTGTAATCACTGCAGGAAAGCAGAATAACCAAAAATGCCTAACCATAGGGGATCAGCTATGTAAACTGTAATATCTCAACATGATAAGAGGAAGTATGGCATTACAGATTGATGATGGGTTTGGGAATGAAGCCATGGGAAATCTCACTTACAGTATTCTATTATTTTTAATACTTTTTAGAAATAAATCACTAAATCCCCAGCTCTACCACTACCAACCTCTCAATTTCCTCTTTTATACATTAAGAATAATTATATCTAAATTGTAGGGTTGTTGTGAGGATTAAAAAATTATATATGTATAAAATTCTTAATAAGGCAACACGCCTCATTGTAGACATGGTAGCTATCATTATAAAATATCAAAGTGATGTTAAGAATAATAAGTATGTGGGTTAAATCAGTCTGAAAAGAATATATATGCAAACAATTAAATTAAAACGCATAAGATTATCATATCTGCAAATTGGCAAGGCTGGGAAGTACATTTAGAATGACTGAGGTTAGCTCATCTACTTTCACTGCTGCCCACAAAAAGAGAATGAGCTCAGGTTGAAGAACAGTGATTTAAAAGCAATATAAAAGAACCCTAGGATTATAAAATGCTGAAGAAATCTATAAAAGAAAACATTAAAACATTTCCCTCTAGAGATTAAAAAGATAATTACATTGGTTTCTCATTTATTTCCCTGATTACCATGGTCAAAAGGTAATTTATATCTGGTTTTGATAGGTGTTCTTTGCCTCGAGGGATTTTTCCTTTCTAATTGTGTTTGTTTAGGCTAATAGAAAATGAATTTGCATTCCTTGAACTCCTTCCAAATGAAGGTGGGTTGATGACTCAGAAGAATGCTTCATAGTTGGGGAAAATCCCTTTGGAATTTAAAAGGTGCTAGGAATAATCCAAAGAGTAAATAATCCGTGGAAGAGTTAACTGTCCAGGAATTTGATAATCTCCTACATCCCTCCCATCACCTTTCAAGTAAAGATACCCATAACATAGTAGAAATCCAAGATGTGAGATTTCCGGAGTAGCTAGGACCATTCTTCCATCCTGGTATCACCTACAGTACCTCCCTTTACAGTTAGTTCCCTTTTTAAAATATTATTTATATCAATTGTATTATGCTATGTTATATTATATCACAATTATGATATGCTTATATTTTATAATTATTTTAATGCCTTTTTATAGAATTGTAAAAATCCTGCGTTTGGAGTAGTTGCTCCAAGGATTTTTACTGCAGTTGCAGGAAGTGAGGGCAGTTGCTAGAGCCTTCGGGTTCCACTCCTCTCACACCGAATGGCAAGGAAAAGTTCACAGTGTGTGAGGCACAAGATAAAGAGGAAGGCCTGTTATTGTTTGCTTATTGGTTATTTATCTCAATCTGGTGGACTTTTTTTTTTAATGTTTTATTTATTTATTTGAGAGAGAGAGAGCAAGAGAGAGAGAGAAAGAAAGATTGAGAGAACCAGTTGGGGAGGGGCAGAGGGAGAATCAGGCTCCCTGCTGAGTAGCCCTATGCAGAGGGATGCCCGTGGCTCAGTTGGTTAAGTGTCTGCCTTTGGCTTAGGTCATGATCCCAGGGTTTTGGGATCATGACCTAAGCCAAAGGCAGACACTTAACCAACTGAGCCACCAGGGGCATCCCTCTGGTTGAATTTCTGAGTCCTATTATCAAAAACTGATTTTCACATTAAAGCAAGAACACATTATTATTTAAAAGTTTCAAAAAGGTACATATACAATTAAACATGAAAATCCTCTGTAACTGCTCTTCGTCATCCAATCTCATTCTATCTTCCTAGATGGACACTATGCACAATTTGAAGTTATCCATTTCTATGCATTAGCATACACATACAGCCATCAATAAGGAAACAATTAAATAAATTAGAGTATAACCACCCTGTAGGATACTGTGCAGCAGTTTAAAAACACAAGAAAATATAGCCAGAAATGACCTGACATGTAGTAAACCCAGAGCATATTGTTTTCTCATTCTTTCATGGCATATTCATTTTCTCATTCATTCCTTCATCATGGCTATATCACAATCTATTTACTCAATTTATTACTGACACCATTTACAGTACAAAAAAAAAAAAAAAAAGAAAAAGGAAAAAAACCCAACTTCAATATTCTGAAACATGCCTTTTCATGTCCTGTGTGAGTATTTCTCTAGGGCGGATAAACAGAAGTGGAATTACAGGTTCAAAGGACATTTGCACTTAAAACTTCAATCAATCCCATCAAATTGTCTTTTAAGTCTTTACCACTTTACAGTCCCTCCAACCGTGTTTATGCATATCCTCCTACTCTCCAATAAATCCTTACTTACATTGGATATTATCTAGCTCCTCAATTTTTGTCATATAGGCAAAAGGAGAGGTTGGGAATCTCACCACCCAGGTGCCCTGTCCAGATTATTTAATACTAGATTTACTTCTAATACTAGATTGAGCTTTAAACTGATACTTGATCCCTACAATGAATAGCCCAAGTAATGCTAAGTGAAAAAAGAAAAAGAAAAAAAAAGTTGTATACTTATTTTTCCTTTCTTTTCTTGGAAATGTATTTCTTATGTTATCAACCTCTTATGGTATTCCTGAAAATAAACAAAAAAACTAAAATGTGGGGGTTCCTGGGTGGTTCAGTCAGCTGAGCATCTGCCTTAGCTTGGGTCATGATCCTGGGGTCCTGGGATCCAGCCCCTTCTCCCTCTGCTCAGCGGGGAGACTGCTTCTTCCTCTCCCTCTGCCAGACACTCCCCCCCCCACCCCTGCTTGTGCTTGTGCTCTCTCTGTCAAATGAATCAATAAAATCATAAAAAAATTAAAAAATAATAAAAACTAAAATGGAGAGAGAAAATTAAATAAGGCAAATTGTAAATATGCCCCTCAAACAATTCACGTGGCATTTGTGCAGGTATATGGACTACCACACGATATAGTGACTTTAAAGTGTAAATTTGTTGTGGGACAAAAGAGAAAACCCAGTAAGTATCACTTATTCATTTAGAAAGCATTTTTTAAGTATCAAGGAATATGTAAAGGACAAGATATAAAACCATGTCTTCCCCCTGTAAATGAGTCTGTTGGAGAAGAGAGATCTTTGCAAATGTATTTCTATTTGCTATGATAAAAGTAGTAGTATCAAGGAATATGTAAAGGACAAGATATAAAACCATGTCTTCCCCCTGTAAATGAGTCTGTTGGAGAAGAGAGATCTTTGCAAATGTATTTCTATTTGCTATGATAAAAGAAAAGAAAAGCAAGATCTTTTAAAAAATATAAAGACCTTGAAATTTTTACAGAATGGTATCAAAAATATTTAACAACTGGTAATGCCACCAACTAATGAAAAGTTGGTCACATCAAATACTGGCTGAACACTGGCCTTGGTTACATTAATTAGGGGTTTCCACTGATAGTATGTGGAATGACAGTATAAAAAAACACTTATTCCAAATAAGTCTCTTTTTAAGTTGTTGGTAACAGACATAAAGCTAGTTTAGAAATATAAATAGGATATGAGAAAAACTTAGCTAGATTTTAAATTTTTGATATTTTTAATTTCTTAATTTTTATCATATTTACAAAATATTGTTATTATTTTGAATAGGTAATACAGTCACATAATTTAAAAAAATCAAAAGGTCCAAAATGTTCTTCAGCTAAAGGAGTCCCTTCCACCCTGTTCCAGATTTACAGTTCTCCCTGGGGGAAACAAATGTTGTTGCCTTTTTTCTTGCGTATCCTTCCAGATATACTATGCAAATAATTTTTAAAAATTTACTTAAATTAACAAATATCCTAGACTGCAGTTTGTAGATCAACACAAAAAAGAACCAGTGACCAACTAAGACAATCAAGAACATTAAGAAACAGTATTTTTTGTTAATCTAGTGCAATGGACTAAATGTTTGTATCCCCCCCCGCCCCCAACATACACACAAATTCATACATTGAAACCTAACCCACAAGGTGGTGGTACTAGAAGGGGGTTGCTTTGGGAGGGAATTAGGTCACAAGGGTGAAGCCCTTATGAATGAGATTAGTATCCTTATAAGAGACCCCAGAGAGCTCCCTCCCTCCTCCTGCCATGTGAGGTTAGAGTGAAACAATGACCATCTATGAACCAGAAAGTGGTGTCCCCAGACACCAAATCTGCCCATGCCTTGATCTTGGACTTCCCAGCCTCTACAACTATGAAAAATAAATTTCTGTTGCTTATAAGCTACCCACTTACCTATCTACTTAGGTTTCTTAATTCTTGTTACGTGTAATCAACTTGAAATATCCCACCTTTAAAGCATACAGTCAATGCTTTTTCTTTAAGGGAACATCTCTGACCTGGATTATAACAGTGGACAAGATGCCCTCTCCAATGAGTTTCAGTAACGAAGTGTCTAGAGAAGTTTGGGATGCTATAACAAAATACATAGACTGGTTAGCTAGCTGTCGTCTCAGATCCAACTCACCTTTATAAACCCTACTCTGTGAGTATAGAACCCTAACTGATATGTACAGAGAGTACCAGTCGAATTTCTCAGTCAATGAGTGATCACTTATTACCTTATGTTCAAACAGAATTCTTTGTGCTCTATGATAATGTGACATAACATAATAGAGAAGTAACTATATTTTAAATGGTTACCCATTTTCCAAGCAGAGCTCTTCTTTCTTCAAATATCTACAATAAATAAAAAGAATGGCATGATTTTGTATTTCATGGTTCAAAATACCCATTATAAGAAAGATTATCATTAAGGTATCAATAAATAAAAACTGACAGTCTTTTCATTATACCAATGAATATAAAAAGACAGACTTCACTCCTGAGAGGGTACTTTCCTTATTTTTAACTTGGAGACAGTATAGTTTTTCTCAATTTCTCCATGTGGAATAATTCATCTTAAAGAAAAAGCAATGCTTTTTTTGTTAAGGGAAAGACATAAGAATGGAACTGTAAGGTGAAATCAGTTTTAGAATTTGAAAGGATATGAAAAAAACGGACAAAAGAAAGAGAAAAATGGAGATCCTCTCTCAAATATCAATCATATGAGAACGCATGAATTTATGAGTGAGCAGCTCCGTTTTTTATATTTCGTCATGTACACATATCGTGGGTGTACATGCACTGATATGTTTCCAGGATTAGAAATTTGTGTATGTGTACCTCTGGGCTCACAACTCGGTGTTCACCTGGATAGGCTTGTTATGATATACTCGTTAGCACAGACACCATGCCATTTTTACATCTCTACTGTAGAATACATAGCATATTACAGGTACTCCTGTTTGCTGGATTGAATGAATTGGTTGTGGTAAGTAATGTTCTTATGGATGTAGCAGTACAATGTGGGTGGATTTATATATTAGTGTGGAGGTGTTTTCCTGAGCACCAGTCATATGTGTATTTGAATGAATGAGGAAAGGAGAATGGCAGAGGAGGGAGTTATGGAGAGAGGAAGCAAGGGAGAGTCACGAACAGATGTGAATGTCTCTCTCTCCCCCACACTCAGGCCCTCTGTCAGCTTTCAAAATTGGGATTGATGTTTTCCTCTTACTTTTAGCACTGCCTAAATTCTCTAGTGCTGTAAGAATGTTCCCACTTGGAGACTAACTAAGGCCCATTTCTTTCCTTTTTGTGGAGGAGGATGATGATCTGGTTTTATGCTTCTAACAGATAATGCTTTCCTTCCTTTTTTAGATTCTCAAACTCTAGTTTGAAAGGGCACACAAAAGGGGGGTTAAAATAATTGGTTCAAAACAACCTCAAGGCCAGTGAAATGTCAGTTTTGCTCCTGGCCAGAGAATCTCCTTCATTACAGGTAGACATTTTTCTCATATTAGAGAAGAAGAAAAAGAAGGCCCTTCTCCCCTGCCCCTTATTAACCCTCACCTGGGCTATTAGGACCCTCAAATAATGGCAACAGATAAACGTGGGATTTCTGGATGAAAATAGAAGAGAACCCATAGAATAAAGAAGATTTTAAAATGTGGCTTCAGATATTTCCTGAACTCTTCATTTTATCTAACCAAAGTCTACCAGTCATCTGTTGTTGGATCCAAGTCACCAGCTCCAGTACTTCTCAGAGGCCCAGGGGATCGAACTCCTCCCAACTAATTTCCAGTTATAACCCATGTTCCACGTGGGCTTTATAGAGTTTGGTATGGCTCTCATCATCTCTGGTCATTTTATCTTCCCATGTGGATTACAACCACTTTCTCTATAATCTGTCAAAGTTGCAAGGCAGGCCCTCAAACACCTGTTGATTGAACAACAACAAAAATGTTTCAAAAGTCATAGCATTTTATTTATTTTTTTTTAAAGATTTTTATTTATTTATTTATTTGACAGAGAGAGAGAGATCACAAGTAGGCAGAGAGGCAGGCAGAGGGAGAGGGAAAAGCAGGCTCCCTGCTGAGCAGAGAGCCCGATGCGGGGCTCGATCCCAGGACCCCGAGATCATGACCTGAGCTGAAGGCAGAGGCTTTAACCCACTGAGCCACCCAGGTGCCCCCAAAGTCATAGCATTTTAGAGCTAAAAGGAACCCCTAAGATCTTTTGAATTTCCTTATTTTAGAGAGGACAAGCAGAGGCCCAAAGGCTTACATTTATAAATTTTTACAAATCACTGGTTCCAAGCTGTCTGTTCAGCTCAACTCTGTACTGGTTCCTCACTAGAACTGTGGTCTTCCTCATCCTGACATCCAGCCCTACATTTGCAATAACTGTTGGGGGAAGGAGAAAATATTAAGTCTTAAGATCATAACCTCTTTTCGAAAGGAGGATGAGGTGACCATCATGGTGCCCAGTGACAATATGGGGCATTGGAAACAAAGGGGCATTGACTTGGAGGGGGAAGGATAGTTAGTAAGAAGGTAGCAGGAAAGGAATGGGGTGGGAAGCGGGAGTGTACTCAGGCTAAAACAGTGAGTTTTGTTGTTGTTGTTGTTGTTGTTGTTGTTGTTTTAGAGGGTGGGGAGGGACAGAAGCAGAGGGAGAGAGAGAATCTGGACCAGGCTCCACACCCAGTGCAGAGCCCAACTCAGGGCTCGATCTCACAGACCTGAGACCATGACTGAGCCAAAATCAAGAGTCGAATGCTTAACTGTCCCTAAAGCAATAGTCTTTGGAGGGTCAATGACCAAGTCTAAGGAGGTCCAAGCAAATCCAGTTCTTACAAAGGCATCTAGACCCAGGTAGAGACCAATGGGAGAAAGGAAAACCACTAGACAAGCTCAGATCTGGGTCTGACTCTACTCTTGCAAGAAAGAGAATTTGGGACACATTATTTGTCAGGCCTCGGGTTTGGAGCAAGTCTTCATTTCAAAGACTTGCAATCAAGTTTGGCATCTTAAAGAGCTAGAAAACAAAGTATTGATTCAAAACAGAAATATTAAAATGGATCTGCTCTCCTCTCAGAGCACTGCAGTTTGTTTATATCACAGTTTACTTGGAGCCTGCTGTTAAGTCAAAAATCCTACGGTTGTTATTTTAGTCTGTTGACAGTGCAGTTACATATTTCGCCATGTGACGTCATTACAGTGTAGGAGTGAGACATTTAGGGGCTCCAAAATTATGATTGGTTAATGGCAACAAGGTGCTTTTTCTCAGAACACCTTTTAACATGTACTGTACTACATCTCGAAAAAGAAACGTTGGTTACTTTCAACTAAAGCACTGGATGGCAGGGGCGCCTGCTTCTCCCTCTGCCTCTGTCTGCTCCTCCCCCAGCTTATGCTCATTCTCTCTCTCTGACAAATAAATAAAATCTTAAAAAAAAATTAAAACATTAGATGGCTAGGTGGCAAAGAAATGCCCACTTTTAAAACACTCTTCCTCTCAAAATTCGTAGTGCTCAAGTTATTTTGAAATCTGTTACATTTGCTCCTGCTGATCATGCTGTCTTTGAAGGCATCTGAATTTGAATTCAATCTCTCTGCCTTTTTTTTTTTAAGATTTTATTTATTTATTTGACAGAGATCACAAGCAGGCGGAGAAGCAGGTGGGGGCGGGAAGAGGGGGGAAGCAGGCTCCCTGCTGAGCAGAGAGCCCGATGCAGGGCTCGATCCCAGGACCCCGAGACCATGACCTGAGCTGAAGGCAGAGGCTTTAACCCACTGAGCCACCCAGGTGCCCCTCAATCTCTCTGCATTAAGTCTGCTGTGAAGTTCAATTCCTGTACCCCAATGAGCATTGAGTGTTGTATGGAGGTGATGAATCACGACATTGTACACCTGAAACTAATATGACACTGTATGTTAACTAACTAGAATTTAAGTAAAAAAATTTTAAATCCTGTGACCCTTTTTAAGACTGAAATAGTTACACATTTTACATCTTACTACAGAATCAAAGACAGACAAAAATAAAACAAAAATAAAAACAAGGACCTCAAAATTACACTGATCATTGGTGACACATGCCCTATTTAGAAGTATAGAAAAATCCTTAAAATTATTGTATGGACACCTTCTGCCAAGCTGTGTCTGTGGTGTCTATTTTTAATACCCTTTATATAGTCAGAATGTTAGATCTGGAAACAACTCTGAGGTAATCTCATCCAACTCACTTATTTTATAAGGAGGATTGTAAAGCCCAGAGAAAGTAGGTTACTTACTCAAGTCAGACAGGAAAGTATCAGTGATCTGGAACCAGAATTTTCAATTCCCAGAGTTATTGTTTTCTCTTTACTTTTATTTACATCATTTTGAGATTATTTTAAAATTTGGAATTTTAGAAATTTTGTTATACTATGTAAAGTAAAAAATGAAAGCTTTCTTCCTACAGGACCACCTCCTCTGGAAACCACTATTAATAGTTTGGGATTGGGGCGCCCAGCTGGCTCAGTCACTGGAACAAGTGATTCTTGATCTTGGGGTTGTAAGTTCAAGCCTCACACTGGGTATAGAGATTACTTTAAAAAAATAGTTTGGTATACCTGGATACAAATTTAATATGGGTCTATATATATTTCTACATATACATATGTGTGTACATACATGCACAGATTTTAAAAAATAATTTTAGTACAAACTGGAACTCAACCACAAAATAACTCCTTGATAAAAAAAGTAAGAGCTAGGAACACCTGGGTGGCTTAGTTGGTTAAATGTCCAACTCCTGACCTCAGCTCAGGTCATGATCTTGGGGTTGTGGAATCATACCCTGGGTGGGGCTCCTTGCTCAACAGGGAGTCTGCTTAAGATTCCCTCTCTCCCTCTCTCTCTGCATCCCCCTCAAACAAATAAATCTTTTTTTTAAAAATGAGAGGTCTAGGGGCACCTGGGTGGCTCAGTGGGTTAAGGCTCTGCTCAGCAGGGAGCCTGTTTCCCACCTTTCTCTCTGCCTTCTGCTCTGCCTACTTCTTATCTCTCTCTCTCTCTGTCAAATAAATAAATAAAATCTTTAAAAGTAAAAGAGAGGTCTATGGGATGCTTGGGTAGCTCAGTTGGTTGAGCATCTGCCTTTGGCTCAGGTCATGATCCCAGAGTCCTGGGATTGAGCCCTGCCTGCATCAGGCTCCCTGCTCGACGGGAAGCCTGCTTCTCCCTCTTCCTTCTTTGCTCCCTCTGCTTGTGCTCTCTGTCAAATAAATAAATAAAATCTTAAAAAAAATTAAAAATTAAAAAATAAAAATGAGAGGTCTAAAGAACAAAATAAATATTATCTCTAGAAATTATCATTTTGAGACAAAAGCTATTAAAAATTCAAGATAAGATGAGGGCTGTGATTCACTGCCTGGGGTTTATTCACCCACCTGTTGGAAGTGCTGTTGGCTCTCAGCCATGAACTTGAGAGCTCTGCTTTATTCAAAGCCAGGCCCTTCCAGGGGCAGGTAGCCCCTACTAGATGGTCAGTGTAGAAGTATATTTTTTATTATTTATTTATTTATTTAGGCAAACTCTACACCCAATGTGGGTCTCAAATGAACCCTGATATTGAGAGTTGGATGCTCTACCAACTATGCCAGCCAGGCGCCCCACTGTGGAACTATAAAGGCTGGTGGCTACAGGGCCAGGCTTCAAACATGTGGCCTTTGTCCCTTCCCCTCTACATCTCCCCTCACCCACCTCCCCTCCTTTCCCCTCCCTTCCCTGGTGCTGATCCAGAGAGCCCTCCACAGTCGAAGCCCTACATGCCAATCTCAGAGTCTACTTCTCTAGTAAACCAACCTGCAACAGGCAATCAGGCAATTAAGGCTTTTTTTCAATGGGGCGCCTGTGTGGCTCAGTTGGTTAAGCAGCTGTCTTTGGCCTAGGTCCTGGGATGAAGCCCCCCCCTTGCTCAGCAAGAGCCTGCTTTTCCCTCTCCCTCTGCGTCCCCTCTCCCCCTGCTTGTTCTCTCTCTGTCACATAAAAGAATAGCATATGGAAAAAAAAGATACTTTCTCCCTGGCTGCTAAATTGATCAAGACTCCTAATTTTTCAAAGAAAATCTCTGAAATCAAGGCATCCAACAAATACGTATTTCAATTCAAGTCTTTTCCATGTATGTGTAAAGCCTTCACTATTCTAGGAGAAAACAGATTTCAAAACTAAACACCGAAGTTTTTTAGGGGGAGGGGGGATAGCAGAGAAGCCGTTATATAAACTGTTGGAGCGCCAAGAACGTTTACACACAGGTGCTCAGTAAGCAGTTGCTGAGCTGAATATAAAGGGCTTTCCATAGACTTGCTTGTGTTCAGGGCCAGATAAAGGCCGGATTTTGGTCTCTCATTCTCTGTCTTTCCTTTTGTTTCTCCTGGTCCCTCCTCTTATTCTATGTCTCATTCTTCTTTCCTCACTTCTTTTATCTTTTTCCTTTTCAGTCTCTCTCCCTTTTATTTCTCACTACTCCCATCACTACACTGGCTGCTCTCTCTCTCGCCAGATTGCTCGCGTTTCACATCAGAGGAGTAGAACAGGAAAGTACTGAACAGGAGGGGTCAGACTGATGCTCGTGTTTTCCCAGGGTAGTTAGCATATCTGTTCAGTGTAGAGGCAAAGGGTCAAATCCAGACTAAGGAAGGAAGGATTTAGGGACAGGAAGGGGAGCGTCCGTGAAGGAGGTCCCAGGGAAGATGGCTGAACTTTGACTCCATCTTTTGTGCCTCAGGAACTATGTCAGGCACTGGAAATACAGAGAGAAAAGACACAATCTCAACTCTTAACACATTACAGCTGACTGGGAAAGTGGGTAAACAGTGATGAGAGCAAAGAGAAGCAAATAGGAGGAGGCCTTCTGGAGAAAATGACATTCAAGTTGCTCGTAGGGGAGGCAACAAGGAGAGCGAAGGAGTGGAGGTGTGAGAGGGCCTGGCTCATCTGGAGGCTACTTTGTTGGTCTGGGCCTAGGATGGGACTCCTGCAGTGGCAGGGCTTGGAACTGACAGGTTGGCTGAGGTCGACCTAAGAAAAGTCCCCAGTGCTAGGCATAGGGGTTTGGAATTTACTCTTTGGAGCAGGGCCTGTTACCAGTTTCACACAAAATGATGACCTTGGTATTTTATTTTAGCTTTTAATTCTATTTATTTTTCTTGTTTTAGTTTGGTATTTTAGGAAATACCAAATACCACTCTGGGACCAGAATAGAAGATGGATTGGTCGGGAGAGAGGCGATGAAACCCGTTAGGGGTTACAGCGGTGCATCGGGCAAAGGGTGAGGGTGATGAGGGTGTGAATTGACAATGGGAAGCTGGAGGCAAATGGATGAATGAAGGAGAGGGGCCCAGATGAAGAGGAAGACTTCTAGAACTTGAAAATGAATTGCGTGTGGAAGTGAGGGGGTGCTGGTAGACATATCTCCCTGGGCCTCCATCTCACTCTCCTAAATGTCTTGGAATACCAAGAGGGCCAGGTCTCCATTGCTCTTTCCTTGGGCCATTTTTCCAAGGTACATTTGGAGCAAGGCAACCTTGAGTAATGAGGTACTATCTCCCTCGGGAACCAAGGGCAGACTGTTACTGCTTACTATAAAAGCAAAGGACTCCCTAGGCTCACTGTTCCTCAGTTGTCATGCAAACCCATGGTGTGTGTAGTATTTTTCCATGCCTTCTGGAGCACTCCTGTTGGACAAGGTGGGTGAAGAGAACCAATGCCAACATGTTGCTCCTGCCACTTGCTGCACGGTGAGTAAAAAAGATTTTTGTCTCTGATCCAAGAATCTTGTGTTTTCCTATGAAATGGTAGTGTCTTCTATGCCATAAGTAATGGGCTAAGTTATAAGTTTGTAGATTGGGAGAAACCAACCCAGAGCTGGCAGGGAGGAGGATGATTTCTGGCTTGAGTGACTTGGTGTAAAGTGATGCCTTTTACCAGGAGGAGGAACTGGGGTGTAGGAGCAAGATAATGAGGTCAGTCTTATTGATGTTGATTGTCTTTTACTGACAATTAGGTGTGGTCCTTATAACAGGGATTGATAATAGGAGCTCACTGATCTGTTGGTAAATTCTGCCTCCAACTGAAGCAGGAATAGAAATCCCGAGAGGCTGGCCAGTGACACCCCAGCATGATACTCGGTTTCCCACCTCTGCAATCCTCTGGTGTATTATTCTATGAGTGCTTCCCCAGAAAGCAGGTAGGAAATAAACTTCTTAGGAGAAGCTGAGTAAGGTGAGTCATCAGTTGAGACTTACTCATTTTATTTGGTTAAATGTGCAGCATTATTCAGTAACTGCAATTCTAGCAAGAAAATCTTTTTCTGGGAACTCCTCACAGACTACCCTCACAGATATAAAATAGCTCTGGTCACTTACCCGGTCATTCAAAAGCTGATGGTTTAGAGGTGTCCAGGTACTCATCTTTGTCTGCATTTTGGGGGCATCTGTACTTTTTGGAGGTGCAAATGCCATCATGAAATAACAGAATATTCTTCCATAAGAAAAACCATACCTATCAGAAGAAATGAAACATAGGATCTTCAGAATACTAAAAATACTAAGACCATACCATCTTTTAGTACACTGAGAGAGAGAACTGGGGAGGGAGAAGAACATGTACTGGGAACATTTTATAGGTCAGGCACTTTATTTGCATGCTTAATTAAAGCTCATAACAATCTGAGGAGGTGGTGGGTTTTAGCTCATTTTATAGATGAAGAAAATGAGGCTCACTGACGTCACACACCCTGCCTAAGTTTATACAGACAGACAGTAGATTGTGGAACTAGAAATCAGATCAGGTCTGCTTAAATTACTTCTAGCTAAGAACATACCCACCTGGCCAGAAAGAAGTATTTAATTTATAAAATCATAGTGCAATATAAATCACTCCATCCTGGTCCCTTGTCTTTCTTCCTCCCCTCTCTGTGATACCTAAGTAACAAGGGTTCTAGCTTGATACCATATTTAAGAAGTAGAATGGTGTAGCGGACAAATCTGAGCCTTTAGAGATGGATATATTTGGGTTTACTGGGGGAAATGTGCTGTTTTTAGGCACCCAGTCTAGGTCTTTGTTCATTTGATTAAAACACTTTAATTTCCATGAAGAATTACTTGCCCCTTATTGTTTAGAATCTGCTGGGTTGGTTAATCAAGGTCGCCTCTCCTTCCCCAGCCAAGACCTGGTCATGAGACCAAGCTACGCCAGTGGGACTGATGCTGGCTCCTCCTAACTTGACAGCTGAGGTGGTTGTTAACAATAGCATCAGTGCCCTGTTAAGTTGCACCTGCTGCCTTACCCCTCAGAAGCCCCTTGTCCTTTCTTGCCCATTTTTTGTAAGCTATCTGATTATCCTTGCAATGAATTTCTTCTTTCTGCTTATTTACTTACATTGTAAATATTATATTTGCTTACATTAAAAAAAATACAAAACTTTTTATTTTATACAGGTTTGATCCTGGCTCTAAAACTTACTAGCTGTATAACATTTTGCAACTTATTCAGTCTATCTGAGCTTTTAATCTATCTGCATCTACCTTCAACCACTGTTTCAAAGATTGTAGAAAATGGGTCCAACAGAGTGCCTGACAGATGGGCAGTCTCAGTAACTAATAACTTTCCTGCAACCTTTCTTAGAATTTGACAGAGTGCCTCAAACCCCGTCAGAGGGGGGCGACTGGGTGGCTCAGTCAGTTGAGCAACTGCCTTAGGCTCAGGTCATGATCTCAGGGTCCTGGGATCAAGGCCCACATCAGGCTCCCTGCTCCGTGGGGAGTCTGCTTCTCCTTCTCCCTCTACCCCTCTCTCCACTCATGCTCTCTGTCTCTCTCTCTCAAATAAATAAATAAAATCCTAAAAACAAAAACAAAAACAAAACTATTGGAGGGCCACAGCAAACAAAAAAAATTTTAAAAGATTTTATTTATTTATTTTACAGAGAGAGATAGTGAGAGAGGAAACACAAGCAGGGGCAGTAGGAGAGGGAGAAGTAGGCTTCCCGTAGAGCAGGGAGCCCGACTCGGGGCTCGAACCCAGGACCCTGGGATCATGACTGGAGCTGGAGGCAAATGCCTAATGACTGAGCCACCTGGGCACCCTGATAGTTTCAATATTATATCCTCAGAGTTTCTACTTGCTACTGCCTTCCTTCCTCTCTGAAGATGGGTTTCATATTAAAGCCAGAGCTTGCCTCCCTGATCTATGGGCTCCAAAAATTACTATACAGCAGCAAAGATTGGGCAATTTAAAAAGAAAACATTACTTTTTGGCTGATATGGGATTCCCCCAAAAGCTAGATCTGAAATCTCTGAGGCTCTCCCTTGACAGGTAATATTCTCTCTCAGGTTTGAGTTCTAGCTGAAGATAAAGCCAATGTTTGAAAACTACAGGGGCATCATTACCCAATTGCTTCTTCGCAGTTGCCTACTGCCACCAAACCACTGGTATAAAGAGGACTCACATCAGCACTCACATTCTTCCCAACCTCTAACACCTAATTACCTGAGTCACACATGGTTAGCCAAATTGCAAAATGTATAAGAAATTATTTCATTACAGTATTATTAATTGGCAGCTATAAAAGTATGTGTGAGCGGGCAAATTATAGATACAAAGTGTGGTCTCTGAGCCTAGATCTGCTCAGTTAAAAATCACATATATTTTTTGTTTGTTTGTTTTGTATCGTTATTTATGTTTGATTTTTCTTCTCTTTAAACCAGTGTTGTTTTTAATTCCTTTTTTTTTTTAAGGGCCATAAAACTCTTCAAAAACATGATGAAAGCTATGAATCCCTTCCCTAGAAAAATGCTCATGAACATAAAATTTTGCTCACCCCAGGTGAAAAACTCCTCCTGTAAGCTGAGAACTTTCCAGTTTGCGGAAGAAACAAGCTAGGCACAATTTCTGAATTAAGACAAAGTAGCTTCTCTTGGGCTTCCCTAAGGCCCAGCACTGGCTGTTTTCTTTTTCCCTGGTACCTAACAGTTAGAAATTATTTGAACTAGCCTTTTTTCAATCATCATGGTTTTTAGGACATACAGCCTCTTGGTAATACAATTCTGCAGAAGCATTCAAATGGGGTTGTCCTGCTCTTGCTTTGTCATTATCCTTTTGTGTTTTCTTCCACTCCAGAAGATGAGTAGTGTACATTCCTGCATGCACACACATGTTCACAGCATTAACACTCAGGACTATTACAAAGACAGACATTTTAATATAACATACAGAAGAAGTAACTGTCCCCACTCTGTCAGCAAGACAAAGCAAGTTGTCTTCCTCTCCTCCCACATCTAAGCTTGCTGTTGTTTTTTGTGTGACTCTTTCCACCTTAATGGCTGTCTTTGAATGTTGGTCCTTAACTTTTCCTTGAATGAATAGGAAGAAAGGGGTGCCTGGGTGGCTCAGTGGGTTAAGCCTCTGCCTTCAGCTCAGGTCATGATCTCAGGGATCAATCCATCGAGTCCCGCGCCGGGCTGTCTGTTCAGCAGGGAGCCTGCTTCTCCCTCTCTGTCTACCTGCCTCTCTGTCTACTTGTGATCTCTGTCTGTCAAATAAATAAATAAAACCTTAAGAAAAATAAAAAAGACCAGTCGAAGGGCACCTGGGTGGCTCAGTAGGTTAAGCCTCTGCCTTTGGCTGATCCTAGGATCCTGGATCCTAGGATGGATCCCCATGTTGGACTCTCTGTTCAGTGGGGAGCCTGCTGCTTCTTCTCCCTCTGCCTGCCATTCCCCCTGCCTGCTCTCTTTGTCTCTGTCAAATAAATAAATAAAATCTTAAAAAAAAAAAAAAGACCAGTTGATTATATCACTTTTCAGTTCAAAAACCTTCAGAGACTCTCTGATGGCTACAGCATAACCAGACTCCTTATCATGGAAGTCTATGTCCACTATGAATTTACCTTTTCAGCCTCATTCCCACCCCCGTCCCCATGCACTATCTACCCAGACACACTGAACTTTGGTACAAAACAACTAGTACAGAACTCTGATGCCTTTTTCCTCATGTGGTTTTCTTACATAGCTCACGTGAATCCTAATCCCAGTGCTACATAATTGGTGCTCAAATATTTGTCAAATCAACTGAGTGCATGAATACAATAGTGGAGAAGAAGCAGTTTAAAGATTAAAACTAATAGAAATGTAGGATAAAACTCAGAACATTATGACTTGAGCACTGGAATTAAACTCAGGATTATTGGGTTTTTACTTGGAATTTACAGAGCAGAATAGGATTGAATTTCTCTGCCAACACACATTGTGCATTGCAGTATCATTAGAAAAGAAAATGATATTATCAGGAAATTATCAGGAAATAAGGTACGGTTAGATTTAAATACGAATTCATCTTATATCCAACTAGTTAGACACAAAGCAAAAACTACACTAAAGATAAAGGGCTAGTGTTTGATAGGCACAGAAATAATGAACTGTTGTTAATTTCCTAAGCATGAAGCACCTGGCATTTTAACTGCAGTTGAAGCGGAGCAAAATATTATCCCCAGGAGCACTAACAAGGTTTGTGAGAGGCCCATGAGGATCTCAGAGTGGAGATCTGAAAAGAGTCTCCATCCTTTTCATGCACAGCCCACGGCTCTCACCTCTTTCTGCTCACCTCCCTCTTCAAGCCTCAAGCGCTGGTGTTTCCATGGCAGCCTTTTCTTTGACTCCGTCCAGCCCCCGCCCTTCCTTCCAGGAATCCAATCACCTCCTATAAATCCTTTTGCTGGCATCGCGGGTCTCTTAGGCAACAATGAGTGGTCTCTTGATTGGTCAAGAGATTCGGGAAGGCTGGTTCCAAAATTGGGCACACGGATAAAATTAAAAAAGACCGAGCGCCAAGAAGGTGGGAGGGGCTGCAATCTCCCCATATAAAGCTGGGAGACTGATGTGTCCAATCCCGACACAAGCAGCATCGACAAGCACTCAAGACATATTAGTGTTCCAACAGAAGGCAACCTACTGAGCATGCCCAGTTATATTTCTCTGGTCATTCCAGGGCTTCGAAATGGAAACTCCACTTTTCCGGGTTTTAAGAGTGGCCAACAGGTAAAAGAGGGTAGGAGGAAAAAGAACTCGCTGCTGGTTCCATGAAAGAAGAGCACCTGCCACAGGAAGTGGAAGGACGTGGGAAAATTGCCCAACACACAAACTCACAAATGCTTCAGCATGAATTTCAACAGAAATTCAGGCTGACTGACAGATACACCAGGGAACCAGCAGATGGCATGGCTTAATAAGAATAACCCAAAGTTGGAAAATTTTACGGTCCGGTCTAATTAAATTTCCTGAGCACCCACCATATAACACAAGAACTAAAACACAAGAACACACGAATGAAAAAGATCTTATGAGAAAGTCTGGAAAATGCAACGTGTAAATAACCAATATAAAGCCCACATTGATAACTTTTTGTGATAGAACTATAAACACGTGCTGGAGAACAACCAAAAATTCAAAATTCCAGACAGCTGCTTTGGTAAATGTAAAGCAGTTTCTATGGATAGCAGGTAACAACAACAAAAAGACAAAACAAAAAAACCTACCAAACTCCCACCATCTATGCTTCCTAAAATAGATAAAATATGTTCTCCTCCAACTTAAACAAATGTAAACCTATGCTTATATTGTTTTGTAGTTTTGAAGTAGGCAGAGTTTGTGTATCTCCAACTTGAAAGAGAAGAGTGAAGCTCATAGAGATTGTTGCTTTCCTTGAGTTAACAAATAATCTGTAAGTGGCCAAACTGAAATTAGAACCTAGGTTGTCTGAATTCCAGCCTAGTGGTTTTTCCACATGATCAGGTTGTATGTAAATGAATAAACATAGCTTTTGGTGGGGGGGAGGGTCTGGGGAAGGTAGTCGATGCAATACTAAATTACCATGTACAGTATTACCAGTTAACATTTACGGTTTCAAAACGGGTTCATCCAGAAAGAGACCAGTTTTAACAACATGCTATGTCTCTCTGTGAAGTTCCCACTCATTACAGACTTTCTACTGGTGGTTACAACATGGAATGAAAGAGAGATGGGATAAAAGAAACCACCTCACTTTAACCCTGTTGAATTTGCATAATTTTATACCTTGAAAATAAGCTTCCTGTCGATTGTCCTCTCAACCAGCACCCTCCCGGCGTCCGCTTGTGCAGCATCTCATCCGTCCAACTGCTGATGCTCCTTTCCCCTCTGACCTGAATGACACCAGTCAGGCTGTGTTCATAGTGAGCACACCAGGTCACTGAAGTTGGAAGTACGTCAACATTCCTTCAAACATAAAGATAAATTTAAAGACTACGTAAGAAACACCCTAGTATCCCCACCAAAATTTTTAAAAACATTAACATTTTTGCTTCATGTGTGTGATTAACAGTCGAAGCCCCTTTTGTGTACTTTACAGATCTCATTCCTCTCTCTGCCTGTGTAGAGGTAATCACTATCTATGCAACTGGTATGTAGCCTACTTGTCCATTTTTTCTGCTTTTTATATATAAGCATTCACAATATGGCTAAGTGTTTTTAAAGAGACACCATAATTTACATATCTTGTAGTTCACTTTTTTCAGTGTTTTATTTCTGAGATTTAATCATGTCGATACATGCAGTGATAATTTATCAATCACTCCCACCTTCTCATGTGAGCTATGATATGTCCTATACCTGACAGTTTTCATGGGATGGTGTGCAAATTTCATAAAAATACACTAGCTGCACACCTCCAGAGGTTCTGTGGGTACAAGAAATCTGGAAATACATAAAGCAAGCACACACAGATTTTCATATACACTATTTGCCTCCTCACTCACCCTCAGAAAAGGCAGTGTTGGCTCAACAGGACACACTGACTTGCTTAGAATCAGCTGAAGGATCAGTATTACTTAAAACAAACAAACTGTTACTGCTCAAGTGTTTATTAAGAAAATTGAAATGTCACTTCAGATCTCATTTATTATGCTTTTTCCCACAGCTCACCATCTGATGTTAAACTGTATTTGTGACTAAGCTCAATACTCATTTATTTAACACTTATTGAGCACCTTTTAAAAATTGTGGTAAAATACACTTAACATAAAATTTACCAATTTAACCATTGTTTAAGTGTACAGTTGAGTAGTGGCAAGTATATTCACGTTGTTGGGCAACAGTATTACTTGAGACCATGGGCTATCAACAGAACAAAATGATGCCTATGACGTCTAGCTTGCAAAGGGAGGAAAAGGAAGAGAAAGAAAGGTAGGTACAATGTAGTAAAAGAACAGCGTTGGCTTTGAATGAATCCAGACTCCCCTTAAAAAGCTGTGTGACTGTGGAAAAGTCACTCAACCTTTCTGAGCGTTCTTTTTCCTCAACTGAAAAATGAGAGATTGGGTTTCGATGATCTTTAAGAATTCTTTCTGAAATGGTTTATGTAGAAGAAGAAAGGGGAAACATTTTCTACGGAGAAAAAGATGGGGGAATGCTAGCAACAACCACAAAGTCCACCTGTGCACCTAAGGTGTTGGCCACGCGGGTATAAACCGTTCCCAGGAAGGTCTCCAGTCTGCTCTGTTGTTTAAGCGTGAAGTTCTGCAACAGGCCAGATACTCAGTCCCATCTACACCCAGTGCCACCCTCAACATCTGTAACCCTACTCCTGACACCTCCAATCCCCGAGTTCCTAGGTCAGCACACTCGTTCTCAGAACCCGTTTTGGTCGTCTTGCGATGATAGTTAGCATCCCGGGCTCGAGTGATGAGAGTCGCCGCGCTTTCTCAGCAGGGCAGGGAGGGTTTTGCAAACAGGACTGAGCGCATTTAAGAGAAACCATTCCAGAGTTCGAAAGACCGCCGCCAGAGCAGGACAGCGCAAGGCGTCACCAGACGGCGCAGAGAACAAGCCAGTGCAGGGTTGTTCAGCGGGACCTCTCAGCGGGGCCCAAAATGGGAGCGTTCAGCCGAGGGTGCGCAGCGCGCCTGCGTCGTGCGTGCGCGCGCGCGCGCTCCCCCCCCCCGGCCGCGCGCCTCGGCGCTCCCGAAAGCTCGCGTTCGCTCTGAGGCGGCGCGCGCTGTTGGTCCTTGCTGGCTCCGTTTACCTTAGGGACCCGCGGCCGCCCTGGGCCGGCGCTGCAGCCCCCTTGGAGCCCGACCCCGAGGTGTGAGGTGAGCGACGAGGCGTGCGGCTGCCCGGCCGGCTGGCTGGGAAAGGGCGCGGGCAGTGTGGGGAATGAGGAGGTGCCGCCGCGGCTGCCCGCTCCTCTGCCTAACCCTGTGCTGAGGAGCCACCAGCAGCTCCTGCACCTCCTCCTTAGGGATCGTTATTCTCGTCGCGGCCAAAACAAAAGCCTTCGGCGCCAGGCTGTGGCGGGGGTCGGAGGGGCTCCTCGGGACCCACAGCGTGCCGAAGGGGTGCGGAGGAGCCGACTTTGGGGTGCGGGCTGAGATGGGCAGATGCCCGGGAGATTATTAACCCTCTGCATCCTAAGCCAGCGCTGGGCAACCTGTGCGAGTGTGGACCGCGGCTCCCTCTCGGCCACCCTCCGCCCAAATGCTGGGCGGAGGAGGGTGTCTGGGCTGGGCGCCCACTCCCTGGGTCGGCGCCGCGGGGGCGCTTGGCGCTCGCGGGAGAGTGGGTGGAGGACGCGGCGGCCGAGGTGGGTGGGGGGAGGAGGACAATACATCTAGGGCTCGGGAGCCCCGGGTGCTTGGGGCCGGCCCGAGACCCACGTTAGAATTGCCCCTTGCCTGGATGTTGTTTCAGCATTTGGCCGACCTCCTATTTCCAGTGCCTAAAAGTTGTCCCCTCCATCCCATCAGTTTCCAAAGTCTGCGCTGCCTCTCAGATGCCTCCCCCGCTGCCCTCTTTTATGCTAATATGTATTTGCCGTGAGGGTACTGCTGGGTAATTAATAGACGGCCTCTCAGATGAAGGTGCTGTAAAAGCATTTCAGGACATTTTAACATCTTCCCAGAAGCTCGTTAAATCTCAGGAGTCTTGGAGTTAGGTGCTCCTCTGTAGGAGAAAGAGGGCTTCCCCCTCCCCCTTTTCTCTCTCTCTCTCTCTCTTTCTTTCTTTTTTTTTTTTTTTTAATTAAAGAACAAAAGCGCGTGCCATTAATTTAGGTGTGGGATAGATGTGAAGTTGAAAAATACCAATAAAAGAGGTCCAATTTTTTGCCCAGAATTAAAATGACATTTTGAATTTTGGTTTTCTTCTGAATTTGGGCAGATGCAGCAGCAGACCAGACCCAACACCTATAAAAATGACTGCTGTATAAAAGTATCCAAACAAAATCTTATTTTATAAAAGTGGTTTTGATAGACTGTAATGTTTATTTACAGGAATTGGGTTACTTTGCAAAGCCAATACTGCAAGAGCAAGGAAACAAAGACCTGACTGACATGAGGGATGTTACCTCCCTCTTCAGCCTTTTAGTCTTCAGTGGTGTGCTGACAGTGTGAGGAATAGATAAATTCTTAGTTCTGTTATTAAGAAGCAAGATACTGCTTCACATCCATACTTTTAAGCAAATCGGTACTATCTTCTTGGGGGGGTGGGGTGGGGACGAGGTCATTTACATGAACTACCAAGCCACAGCTAAGGGTAAAAAGATTCAGAGTTAGGGAAAGTAGGAAAGAGGCGTGAAAGCTTAATGGGTGAGCTTGAAGGGATGGAGTTGAAGATAAAATATAATTCCCTCTCTAGCTGTCTCTCTCTGTCAATTAAATAAAATCTTAAAAAAAAAAAAAAGATGCACCCGTTCTCTTACCCTCTTGCCTTTTATTTAGTAAAATAACGTGTTCCTCCTCTACCCACCAAATGTTTTGAAACTATCAAGAGAATAAAACCTACCATCCTACCTTCTCTGTCTTAATATATTTTTTTAATCTCGTCCACTTACTAATAATCTCTACCTTTTCACCTCTCCTAAATCTATAACAGTGTCCCATTAATAGTAGAAGGAATGACTGTTGGGCTCTTTCATTCTTTTCCTCATCTTAGCTACGATATTCTTTTGAGCTTTATTTTGTGCTTTGAATATTTAGGTAGATTTTTCTTGGGAGTTCCATGATTGAGATATTTGAAGTAGGGAAGGTTGAAAGGAATTTAATAAAGTGCACATTCTTCCTTTGTATAGTACAGTGTGGAAGGCTTTGTCATTGGGAAAGGAAAAATAGTAAGTCATAGTAAGTCCTCTGTTTCCCATTTCAGGAAAAACTCTACCTGTCTTAAATTTCATATTAGTTTGTTAGTAAAACTATAAGATTGTATACGCAAAAGTAATTCTGAGCATATTAGTTTGTTGATGTTAGGCTTCTCTTACTCTGTTTTCTTTAGGAAACGTGGTAGGAAACAGTTCTTACGTCTTTACCTTTCACAGAAGAACGTGATGGTTGGCCTCATGGTTGTTTTTTTTTTTTTAACTCCTAAAACTCTACAACTATGGCTGCTTAAAGCTGTAGCTTCCCATGAAAAGACCAATAATGCAAATAAAAAGAGTGATTTGGTAAATGTCTGTTGAAATTATTCAATAAAGATTTGAGGAAAGAGTAAGAACTCTTCACTGGCTAGGGAGGAGTTTTAACTGATGATTGCATCAAAGTGCTTTTCACTTCATTTTGCTAAGAACTATTGACACTTTTGGTGGATCCCAGGCATGAAGTATATAACTAGGCTAGTGAGCCCAAAACAACAACAGCAGCAAAATCCTGATTTCCAGATTTTATCTCTCTGAAATAATTTTACAGTCAAAGCGTACAAACCAAACAAACCTTGCTAAGGGAAAAAGTCGGGCTTGATGTTAGGGGATTTTCTGATGAGTAGATCTTAATTGGAAAGGGAAAACTGGGCTGGAATTTCAATCCAATTTTTTTTTTTTTTTTTTTTAAAGTTCAGAATCTGGCCATCCTTGAACTTTCCATTTTGGTGTTTTGAAGAATTTTGTTTTTTAAAGTAATCCCTACACCCAGTGTGGGGCTCAAACTCACAACACCCAGCACAAATTAAGAGTCACGTGCTCCACCCACTGAGCCACTCAGATAACCAATTAACTTTCCATTTTTGTTTTCAGGTTAGTTTTAAAAGATCTTCTGGTTTCTTTAGTCTTTTTTTTTTTTTTTTTTTTTAAGATTTTATTTATTTATTTGACAGAGAGAAATCACAAGTAGGCAGAGAGGCAGGCAGAGAGAGAGGAGGAAGCAGGCACCCTGCTGAGCAGAAAGCCCGATGTGGGGCTTGAACCCAGGACCTGGGATCATTGACCTGAGCCGAAGGCAGCGGCTTAACCCACTGAGCCACCCAGGCGCCCCTGGTTTCTTTAGTCTTAAAAGTAATTTTTAATTTGTAAAATGAGATGGATTTTGATGCCTATCATTCATTTTAATTTGACCCTAGATGTTTGTTTTTCCTTTTTTTTTTTTTTATAAGCCTTATCATCACTCAGCACATTGGATGATTAGGTTATGTGTGGTAATAGGTAGATGCCGAGATGGACTTTAAAATTTAGACAGATAATATAGAGCAGAAAGAGATCCTCATTCAGAGATTAATAGGAATCTAGGCCCTATGAATTAAATATGAAGCTATATAAACTTAGCAACCAGGAAACAAAATTTTGAGAATAAATTCATTTTTTATGTAATAAGATGTGGAAAACAAAAGGCCAGAGAACACGTGGATTTTAGGAAAAGGAAAGTAACACTTAGAACAGTGACTATGCTCTGAGTGTATATTTTGTTTCTCTTACAATACAGTATTTTCCCTTAGAGGAGAAACTTCATTATTTAGAGGTAGTCATTGCTAGTCCTTGCAGTGCATTCTTGGAAATCTGAAAGAAGACAATATCGCCCCTGTTCCAACTGTAGTCATTGTGTGTGAAGCAGCCTTCGGATTGTATTTCTGAATTTGAAATGCCAAATGTTGTTTATAAGGTGTCGAGAAAGTTAAATCTAAACCAAGAATGATGAAATGGATCATTTTGTGTACAAAAAGTATGAATTGGAATAGAATTACTGAACCTAATCTTTTGCAGGACCCTCTTGACAGCCCCAGGACCTACTTTGTCAGTCTTTCTTCAGGATTCAGCCTGCTTTCCTCTTCACAGTTGCCATCTCTTGCTTTTCCCACCTAAGTGCTTTGGGTCTGGTTTTGCAGCTAGCCTGGAAAAACAGTCTTCCGAGAGTGAATCTCCTACCCCTTTATTGCTGTATTTCGGGACAAATACTCAGCTTATTTTATTTTAAGGGCTTTTACAATTTAACTGGTAATTAGGGAGTATCAGATTCCTAATATTATACATTTATAAAAATTAGATGTATCTAGTCCTTTTGTTTTCTGATGGAATGATAATCAGGCAACTTAGTTTTCCATGTATCTTACATTGCTGTATGGAGAAGTGAGTGTGCCTCTCCTCCCACAAGTAGGGCATGAATAGCTGTTGCCCTGTCACTCACTTTTTGATGGCCCCTGGCCCCTGAAGCTGTTTGCTCCAGTTGTGTTCACTCAGCAGGTCCCTTTATTTATCTGAGATGCTGCAGATTCTACTGGTAAACAGTATAATATCAGTAAGAATGCCAAAATTACTGTTAATCTTTGTTTAATGAGTTGGTATATTTTGGCAGGACCTCATTGGGTCCAGGATTTTCTCTATTTCCTGCAGATCTGGAACTTCAACTTACAGCTTTTCCATAGATGACTCTACCTTAGGAAAAATGACTTTTTGCTACCCACACAGTCCTGTTTAGAAGCAGTATCTCATTGTTATTGAGGAGTGATTTGGAATGCATATCAAAAGTTCTTTTAAAATGTGCATACTGTTTGATTCAGCTGATCAGTGATCTGATTTTTTTCAGTACTGAAAACCAGTTTTTACTCAAACTAAATTGATCATCACTTTTTTGCTTTCCTTACTACCTGCAGTAGGGCATTAGAGTGTCTCTTTGCTTGTTCCTTAATTAGCAGCCAATAAATCAGTGATTCAACTAGTATTTATTCTTGTTAGCTAGTCAGCACACATTGGGAGGTTTAGCCGAGTTAATTATTCCATATACAGAATAATGTTCCATAGGTTCTTTTATTAAACCTCAGAGCATTTATAATATATTTAAGCAGTTGAAATGATTTTATTCTGTGTATATATTTTTTGACTGAAATAGGACATGTATGCTGTTTAGAAAATTGTTTTAATTTTATTTTTTACTTAGTGTATTGTTACTGACTATATAATATTCCACCATGTGGTTATACCATAGTGTGTGTTTTTTGTTTTTTTTTATTATTATTTTTATTAACATATAATGTATTATTAGCCCCAGGGGTACAGGTCTGTGAATCATCAGGCTTACACATTTCACAGCACTCACCATAGCACATCCCCTCCCCAGTGTCCATAACCCAACCACCCTCTCCCTAGCCTCCCATCCCCCAGCAACCCTCAGTTTGTTTTGCGAGATTAAGAATCTCTTATAGTTTGTCTCCCTCCCAATCCTATCTTGTTTCATTATTTCCTTCCCTACTTTTTTTTTTTTTAAATGAATCCCTTCTTGGTAGACTTAGGTTATTTCTAGTTTTTTATTCTATAAAGTGTTACTCTCATTTTGATTATGCATCATGTGTACTTGTGTGTTTATGTAGAATAAATTATAGATTTGTTGCATCAAATTGTGCACATTTTAAGGGCTTTTGAGATAAGTAGCCATTTTTAAAATACCAGCTGTAAACCAGTTATTGGAATGTTGAAAATGTTCTCTTTTCTGCATCCTCTCCCATACTGTGTTCTTTCATTTGTTATTTCTGCCTGTCTGATTGGCAAAAGTGTTCTCTCATATTTGCATCTTTTTCATTATTAGTAAAGTCGAATATTTTTGTGTGTTTGTTGGTTATTTGTCATTCATTTGTAAATTTATGTCCTTTTCCCATTTTTCTATTAAAGTGTTATTCTTTATCTACTTTTATTTTTTAAATTTGTTTTAGGTATTACTTTTGCTAAGCATATAATATTTAAATATACCTATTCTCTTTAAATTACTTGGTTTAAGGGTAGAATTCCTCAAAACGTGACTTACAGACCATTTGTTACAGTACCTGAGGTGACTGTTAGAATGTAGTCCGTTCTCCAGAGATTCAAATTTCTTAGACTTCTAAGGGGATCCATGAATCTACCACTACACATTAAAATTAGAGAGCCTCTCATTTGGAGGAAACATATTGTTTTAAGATTTTTACTGCCTTATTTTCTTTTTGTCTTACTGAATTCACTTTTTTTTTTTAAGATTTTATTTATTTATTTGACAGACAGAAATCACAAGTAGGCGGAGAGGCAGGCAGAGAGAGAGAGGAGGAAGCAGGCTCCCCCTGAGCAGAGAGCCCGAAGCGGGGCTCGATCCCAGGACCCTGGGACCATGACCTGAACTGAAGGCAGAGGCTTTAACCCACTGAGCCACCCAGGCGCCCCCCTGAATTCACTTTTTATTTCAATAATCATAAACTACAGTCTTAAAGTACTAAGATTTTCATCCTACTCCAGCCAAAAATAGATTTTCCAGAAGTGTTTTGATATATGGTAATTTGGGTGTTGTAGTACATAAAGGAAACTTTTTTAAGACAGTGGGAAGCTTCATTTGTATAGGAGGAAAAGGACTAATTTAAAGTAAAGTAGGGAGAAGTATAAGGGGGTGTCATCTAGTTTTAAAAACCCAATGAGATATTTCTCATTCCTTCTTTTATATGGTAGTCTTCTTTGAACCATAAATTTGAAACACCTGTTTGAAAAATTAGTCTGATGGCACCTGAGTAGCTCAGTCAGTTAAGCAAGCATGTGCCTTCGGCTCAGGACATGATCTCAGGGTCCTGGGATCAAGCCCCGCATTGGGCTCCCTGTTCAGCAGGGAGCCTGCTTCTCCCTCTCCCACGCCCCCTGCTTGTGCACTCTCTCTCTCTGTCAAATAGATAAATCTTAAAAAGAAAAAAAAAATTAGTCTAAATGAAATTTGAAAGATTGTTGGTATTATTATGTATATATTAAAAAAAGGAGCAATGTTCTCTTTAGTTTTTTGTTTTTTTTTTAAGTTGCAGGCAGATGAACATGCTGCCTAAGCAATAAACTACAAAGACTGAACTTACATGGATTTTTTAATACTGTAACCAAGTAAAGCTTTCAGTAGTTATTTGACACATATTTAATGATATGCATAATTATTACTGTGTTGCACATAATTAAGCTTAAATATAAACGACTGTGTTTACTACCAGTTTTCTGTAACCAGACCTCACATTTCTGGGGCCAGCTTGAAGGAGGAAAAAAATATGGCAGGCCAAAAAGCTGTCGCAAAGATCTCTGACTTAGAGATTTTGCATAGAGAATAGTCATTTGGGGCAGGGATTGCTCACAACTTTAGTGTTTCTAATTCTATTTTTTAGTATTCCCAATTCCTAGACTTTCCTTTTCCCTTCCACCACTCAATACCATGTACTAGAGGAAGAAATTGGAAAGATTCAGCAACTGCTTTATTTTCTCCAAATAGTTTTTTCTGCTTAGTAACTAAAGTTTGGGATGCAGCAGTCCCAAGCATTGATAGTGAACAAAGAACAGTTTCTTTCCCTGCTTCACTCAAAGGAGTCCAGGTCTCAAAGTCTAAGCTGTTATGGGCTTTAGTATTTAAGTTGTCATATTAACTTGGGTCTCTGAGAGTTTGTGAATCTGAACTCATGTGTTTTGAGCATAGGCTCTTCACAACAAACACAGAAATAACCAATGTATATAAAACAAAATGAAATTTAATCATTTTAATGATTTAATAATTAAATCATTATTAAGCCAAATGAAAGTCATAACTTAGTAAATGCTTTTTCCTACCAGACCTACCTTTCATTCTGCCCACACCCTCTCAGCCCCAAATAAGATAGGTATTCTTGCCCCTGGAAAAGTAGGGGCAAGTCAGAAGAATCTAAAGCTTAGTGAAAACTGTAACTGAGAATCATTCCTATTCTTGCTGTGATTTTTTCGGGAGCAATGTTTCGGGGGGGGGGACGTTTTTTATTCTCTGCAGCCTAGCTATACAATGAAACATTTGTTAGTCAAATATTTCTACATCTATGATACTGCTTTTGCACTATCTAAAAAGATGATATAATGTTGGAAAATTTCTTGAAAGTACTTTTAGAACCTTCTGTTTGCCAGTTCAATATTGGTTGATGGAGATCGCCCTTGTGTAAGTGTAATTTAGTAATAAAATTACCTAATGTTTGGTGCTACTTTACCATTTTATAAAGTATTTTTACATATATTATCTCATAATTCACTCACATATCATCCTTATCAGAGAGAAGAGAGTATTTTCAGGAAGAAAAATTCTGAGTTCAGAGAAGTTAAATGATATGTTTATACTTACACAGCTAGTAAGGGACTTGAATTCATATCTTTCAATTTATGTATATTTCACTGTTTTCACAGATACCTTCTGCCGCGTCAGTTAATGTAAAAATGCACTATTAATGATTAAAACAGATACAAATTTTGAATTCAGTAATTTTGGTTATAAATATGGCAGATATTTAAAGATTTTATTTATTTGTCTAAGTATGGCAGATATTTAAATTTATGACAACAGCATACTTTTCAAAATGGATCAATTATAGCTTGTGACAAAGGAAAAACTGCCATTCTAGATAAGAAATTAAACTATATGTTATATTAACAATTGAAGGAAGAAATTTTGCCTTTAAATTCTGGTTAAGGATTGTTTTAGTATATCTATAGCATAAATGATAAAGTAGAAAAACTATACCATGTCTCTGAAATACCCATGTATTTTATCTGTGAGGTCAGTGTGATTGATATCTCTCATCAAAGATTGTTTTCTTTATTTCTCTCTCTCATAGTTCGTTGTTGGTGTACGGAAACACAACTGACTTTTGTGTATTGATTTTGTATCCTGCAACTTTACTGAACTCATCGAAGACTTTAATATCAAGTCTACAATATTTTGAGAGGAAATTACTAATATCTCTCATTTAAAAAAATACTTCTCAGATATTTCAATCAAAGGAAGAAATAGCTCTTCTCCTAAGATGGAATCTGTTGTTTGGGAATGTGGTTGATCAACTTGATATGTTGGCCAAATGTGCCCTATGTAATAAAATGAAAAGAAGAGACAAGATGATGTCATTTTCCCGTATTGTGAAACCAAAAACAAATGCCTTTTGTGAGACCAAGCTAACAAACCTCTGACGGTGCAGAGTATTTAACTGTTTGAAGAACTTAACATAACATATAGAAGAAATACTTTCAAGCTGAGACCTGCAGGTATATAAAGATCTAAAATCCTTATTGAGTAGGCCTGATCAACCAAATCTCATTCAGATCCAGGAAGGATGGCTATGAGTCGGATCGTCTTCTACTTTTGGCCCTTGACTATGTTTGTGGGACATATAGGTGGGCACAGTTTGTTTTCTTGTGAACCCATTACCTTGAGGATGTGCCAGGATTTGCCTTATAATACTACCTTCATGCCTAATCTTCTGAATCACTATGACCAACAGACAGCAGCTTTAGCAATGGAGGTAAGACTTGATCTATTATTTGACATATCTTAGACAGTGATTCTTATATTGTCTTATTAACTAATGAATGTGTCTGACAAAAAAAACCCAGAAGAACGTTATTTTAAACTATATGTTCTACATTAAGAAGTTACATATTTAGATTCAACTCTAATAGATTGAGGAATTCATGTTTGGGGAATGTTACTCTTGACCTATTTTTTGATATGCTTTTATAAAGAAATATGAAACACTGGAACATGGGAGATAATAGCCATTCAGAAGTTTAAAACTGTCCAGTTATGATATGATTACATTTTTTCTGTTTGGCTGATAATAAAACCTCAGATAAAGAGTAGAATATAATAATAGTCACAGTTCAGCCCTTACTTATTGATGGTAATGTGATCTTGTAAAGTAAGTTCTTTGTTCAGCCTTTAGGCTGGGGGTTTATGGTATTTGAATACTCTTAAAATTAAAAAAAATTTTTTTTGGCTTTACCATCACATCAATTTAAGAATTATAACTCCTGGGCGCCTGGGTGGCTCAGTGGGTTGAGCCGCTGCCTTCAGCTCGGGTCATGGTCTCAGAGTCCTTGGATCGAGCCCCGCATCGGGCTCTCTGCTCAGCAGGGAGCCTGCTTCCTCCTCTCTCTCTGCCTGCCTCTCTCCCTGCTTGTGATCTCTCTGTCAAATAAATAAAAATAAAATCTTAAAAAAAAAAAAAAAAAAAAGAATTATAACTCCTGGTGAACAAAAAAGGTTTGGTGGTATAAATTTTCTGCCCTTGACCTCTCCCAACTTTGCAAAAATGTGTTGCCTTACCTGAATTTTTCTAATGGTAATTTTTCAGGTAACTTTTCAATTATCTTACTTTAGAAACTATGACAAATTAATGGCTATAGTGAACAATAGGTTTAAGTAAGTATGCATGCATTTCTATAGAGGTTTTAGAATTGTGAACAAGGATAATATGTTTACCAGATAGGAGCTAGGAGGCAGCAGGTGGTAGCAATAGGAAGCATAGGCTTTGGAGTTACACAAACCTGGGTTTGAATTCTAGCTTTACCACTTTCTAGCTTTATTGCTTTAGGCAAGTTATGTGTACTTTCTTACCATAGTTTCTTTGCTTGTAAAGTGGAGCTAATAATTATACAGATAATGTTTTGTAGTTTAGTCTGTAATCTATTGTTACAGTGCTTTCAGCACATTGAAGCCTACATGTTTTAGAATGCTTCATTTTATGGCAAAACCCAAAGATTCATTACTTCCAAGTAAACTAACATAAATGTGTCTGGGAAAATTTGTAGAAAGGTGATTATTTATAGATTTTGAAATGTGAAAGGTATCTTATATATTCCAGACCACTATAGCGGTTGAACAAAACATTTTCTGCTCTTCTAACTATATAAGGTCTAACTGGTAAAGAGAGATTTGGTATAGATTATCAGATTAGGATACAGAAATGGGTATTGGTTTAATGCATTAATTTGGTTCTGGACATAGTAGTCCTTACTGTGTATTAAACCCATCAGTTCTCTTACAAAAAAATTGAAGTAGGAATACCTTTGTTTTTAATATCATTATGTCAGTATAACTCCTTTAGAAAGCAAATAGGGTACTAAGAAGCAAGTTACCAAGATATTTGAACTGATTTGGGTTCTTTTATCTCTGCTTTGTAGTAGCTTTGAACTTTGAGCAAGTCACTTAACAAGTTCCTTATCCTTGGTTTCATTTGTGAAAAGGCAGTAAATAACAAAAAACCTCTAAGGCCTGTTAGGATTAAACTTATAAAGTAGCTAGCAAAGTGTATGGCACACAGTAGGTTAACTTCAGATGATTCTATTCCAAATACCATTTCTAAATGATCCTAAAGAGAAAGTACTAGAAAGATAATGTATTTGTTGCAAGTGAACTTGCATTCCTAGGTGTATGCTCTTGAGACATTCAAAATAATGGCATAGTAAGCTATCACTACCCTCCTCTCAGAGTTGCATATGTAGTCTAGATCTTTTATTGGCAATAAGGTTGCTTCTGTTTAAATTCCAAACATTAGGAGAGAGCACCTAGGTGGGCAATATTTTCTGAGAGAAAGCTCTAGTTCTTTGAGGCAAACAATGCTGCAGATAGTTGCTTGTTGCATGGTTGTCATATCAAGACACTGATGCCACCGACAGAATTGTCAGACAGTTTGAGTATGAAGTTTCTGTAATAGCAAAGGGCGTGGAAACTTAGTAGTTTCCATCCTTCCAGATAGAAGTAAGGAAACAAGGACATGGAAACTCAGCAGTTTCCATCCTTCCAGATGGAAGTGAGGATTCTTGGGTCCTTACAAGGACTTGAATCTGCTGATGGCACCTCTATCTCTGATCTTAGAGTGTATCTGTCGGCTTTTACCAGGAGCAAGTAGTTGGAGCAGACAATTGAAGAACATTTTTGAGTGTTCACTGTGGGACAGGGTGAGTTGAAAGATAGTTTCTTAGGGCTAGCATCGTTCTGCTTTCCCATGTTTCAAGTCTGCTTTGGGTTCATTCCTGTACTGATCTGGTGAATCATAATGAGTGCCCGGAAGAGAATAGTACATGATAGTGAGCTAGGATACCACAGATGAGAGAAAATACAAAATCTGGGTTATTTCAAATATGATTATTCACAGTCAGTCAATTGGCTGTTCTTTCATTGTAGGTGTAAGATTCTTTGTACTTTCATTGAAATTGGGACATGTTTAAATAAATGGGGTAAGTTTCAAGTCATTAAGTTGGAAAAGAAAAGATCTTTTCTAATATGTTTATTATTTCTCTATTTCTCCCTTCGAAAACATACTCATCTATACACAAACATACACACTAAATTTTTATGAGTTCTTAACTTAGTATCTTTTCCCCTGCCAATGGTTTTTGATAGGGAAAAAACAAAACAAAACAAAACTTCTCATTCCTGAGTTTCCTAAACCATTTTGAGCTATCCAAATTTCTAAGTAAATTTTTGGGAGCTGTCCAGCATGGACAACAAATTGTCAACAAATTATTAGTAACTATCTTTACCAACCATACATTATCAGGTATTTATGACTGCAGTGGTAATGAAAGAGATCTGAACTGTCTTTCCCCGTATACTGGATAATTAAATACAGTTGAATAGGAAGGACACTTTCACAGTTTAGTGAAAAACGCATTGAAATGGGGATAGGAAATTTTGTATTTTGCTGCTAACTAGTTTTGTAACTTCTTTATTTTGGTTTCCTCTAGGAAGTGAATGTCTTTCCCTGTCCATTTTATAAGGTTGTTAAGATCAAATGATGTGGGATGCCTGGGTGGCTCAGTTGATTAAGTATCTGCCTTTGGCTCAGGTCATGATCCCAGGGTCTTGGGATTGAGTCCCACATTGCGCTCCTTGTTCAACGGGGAGCCTTCTCCCTCTGCTTCTCCCTCCCTCTTCTCCTTCTGCCTACCATTCCCCCTGCTTGTGCTCTCTCTCTCTCTGTCCCTGACAAATAAATAAATAAAATCTTTTTTTAAAAAGGTCAAATAATGTAAGTGGTATGTATACGTAAAAACTGAAAAGTTAAAGTGCTGTATGAATGCAAAGCAGTAGTCCTTATCGCCTGTCACCCTGTTTAACTTCAGTTAGTGTGTGGAACAAGCATTCATCTCTTTACAATGTTGATCACTTGTCTACTCTTTTTTTTTTTTTTTTTTAAAGAATGAGAGAGAGGGAACCCACACACTCAAGTCAGATATGGGGGTGGGCAGAGGGAGAGAGAGAGAGAATCTTAAGCAGGCTCCATGCCCAGTGTAGTCCCTGATTCGGAGCTTGATCCCATTACCCTGAGATCATGACCTGAGCTGAAATAAAGAGTAAGACACTTAGGGAATGCAAGCTGGTGCAACCACTCTGGAAAACAGTGTGGAGGTTCCTCAAAAAACTGAAAATAGAGCTACCCTATGACCCAGAGATTGCACTACTGGGTATATATCCTAAAGATACAAACGTGGTGCTCTGAAGGGGCACGTGCACCCGAATGTTTATAGCAGCAATGTCCGCAATAGCCAAACTATGGAAAGAACCTAGATGTCCATCAACAGATGAATGGATAAAGAAGATGTGGTATGTATATACAATGGAATACTATGCAGCCATCAAAAGAAATGAAATCTTGCCATTTGTGACAATGTGGATGGAACTGGAGGGTATTATGCTTAGCGAAATAAGTCAGTCGGAGAAAGACAACTATCATATGATCTCCCTAATATGAGGAAGTGGAGATGCAATGTGGGGGGTTTGGGGGGTAGGAAAAGAAAAAAATGAAAGAAGATGGGATCAGGAGGGAGACAAACCATAAGACTCGATCTCAAAAAACAGACTGAGGGTTGCTGGCGGGGAGGGGGGACGGGAGAGGGTGGTGGGGATATGGACATTGGGGAGGGTATGTGCTATGATGAGTGCTGTGAAATGTGTAAACCTGGCGATTCACAGACCTGTACCCCTGGGGATAAAAATACATTATATGTTTGTTAAAAAATTTTTAAATTAGGGGCGCCTGGGTGGTTCAGTGGATTAAAGCCTCTGCCTTGGGCTCAGGTCATGATCCCAGGGTCCTGGGATCAAGCCCCACATCGGGCTCTCTGCTCAGCGGGGAGCCTGCTTCCTCCTCTCTCTCTGCCTGTCTCTCTGCCTATTTGTGATCTCTGTCAAATAAATAAATAAAATCTTTAAAAAAAAATTTTTTTTAATTAAAAAAAAAAAAGAGTAAGACACTTAACTGACTGAGCCACTCAGGCTTCCCTACTCTTTTTTTTTTTTTTTTTTTAAACCAGACCGCTAAAGAATAATCAAGAAAAAACTCTTGGGATTGTTTGTGTTTGCCTCCATTTCTTGATTCCTTTTGTCATCCTCATTAAAGATTTTCTGTTGTATGGAAAGCTGGCAGTGAGATACATCCTACAAGGAACACAGAACCTAAAAGCTCAAAATCCTGGTATCTTTTATGATTCATTAAGAACAAAGCATGTTTGAACCAGT